CCCAGTGGATGCAGTGCATGGTTATCTTGCTCAGTCTTAAAGGGCATAATTGAGTGTAGCAGCCTCAAAACCCAACTTCAGGAGCTGTGTTGTAAAAGTTGACTTCACCCAAGGCTGAGCACAGGCTCCAGTCTTCCCTGGAAAGCAGACATTGCCCAGTATGCGGGAAGAGGCAAATACTGTGGCCAACAGATAACTGCTGATGGCAGGGTCCGATGTGGGATCACTCAGAGGTGTGATGGGCTTCTGGACCATTGCTGGTGCTGGAGGCTGAGCTGCTGTGAGGTGTTTCAGGGCTTTGGGGCTTTGTATTACCATAGACTCGGGTGAGACTGTAAACATAACTCCCTTCTTCCTGGCTTTGAATTGGTTTAAAGCCAATGTAAGGACAGGTTGCCTGCTGCAGCACTTGGCTGATGCCTTGGTACTGTTAGCTGTGGGAGCTCCCTCTGCGCTGTCAGGTCCTGCACCGAGCAGTGGGATGCTCTTCATCTCATCTCCTTTTGGTCTGAGCCTGCCCCACAGCTCTGGTGGGTCTCTGGGTGTTCATGGGGCCAGCATTGGCTTGGCTCCAGGCAGGGCAGCATTCTGAGCCTGATACTGGCACCAGGGCCCTGGCTGTAGTCAGGAGAGGGTGTCCTTGAGGGTGTTTTTTGTAGCTGGTCTGTCCTGTGTGCAGTCAGAGCTGGTGTTCATCATAAATAGGCTCATGCGTGCTGGGAAAAGAGAGTTGTTTCTCCTGTTCCTCTCCCCTCGCTTCCCTTTCTGACCTTCTGAGTATTTGTGCCCAAGGACATCAGAGCTTTGGGATGCTGGGGTGGCTCCGGCCACGAACAGGGACCAGCCCTGCAGAAAATGCCTGGGAGGAACTTCCCTGGGAGCCAGACTTTGCCCTTCTCTCCAAGGTAACGCCTTGCAGGTGATTCCCAATAGTCTTGTTTCCTCTCCTCATACTCTTTTCTTTTAATGAAGATGGGTTTTAATAGCACTTTACAACACTTAATCAAATGGTCTTTACTCCAACATGCAATCAAGTGCCTGGAATAGATGAACTGCTTCTGGGGAAGTCTCCTAAAGGTGCTTGATCATCTCACCAGTTTTATCAGGGCATAATGCATCACCCCAATGCTGATTTCATCCCTTTATTTCCTTTTCATCCATTTATTTCCTGTTTCCTTTAGAAGCAGCAGGGCTCACCACTGGGCAGAGCTGTGCCTGGATGGCCGACATTGTGCTCAGAAGAGGGAACAGGTCTAGCACCAGAGCTGAACCACAATCCTATTTCAGAGGCTCTGTATGTGTGTAGGCCCTCGCTTTAAGGTCTAAGGTTTACCTGAAGCATCTGTGGGTATGTTTCATTTGATAAAATCATGAAATACATTGATACTGGTGACACCAACCCCATTCTGAATGTGGTGGGGGTGTTCCTGGCAAGCCCCCTGCAGCACTCGCAGCCTGGCCTGGCTGTCCCAAGCCCACAGCCATCTTTAAGTGTATCATGGGGTTTTTAATCTGAAGAAGTGTTTGCTCACTGCCTGCTCACAGAAGGGCACAAGCTGCTCACAGCTTGGCCGAGTAAGAGATGTGGCAGGGAGGTTTGAAGGGTCAGTGCACACACCAGCTGCTCTGGTGCCATAAACAAGAGCTTTGTGCGACCTGCGGCGCACCTTTGCCTGGGGCTTAGAGGCTTGGATTTGCTTTGCTTTAGCAAGCAGTGGTAATGCCTTACCCCCTTGGTTTGGCTATCTGCTTTTTGCATCTTTTCCTGGGCTTTAGTTACTTAATCTGTGATGAAATGTGAAGCAAAGTTCTCCACGCTTATGCTCAGAAGAAGGACTTTGTTTATGGTGTCAACTGCCTCTTAACTCATTGACCGCATCAGTTTAATTTTAATAGAGCTCTTGTGTTTGAAATCTCAAGAGACTGTTTTTTCTCCTTTGCTAAACACAAAGAAAGCTTGTAAATTGTGTGATGGGTCATCTTTTTTATTTCTTTGTAAATAAATAAATGGCTGCACATCCTTGTTATGGCTGAAGGAGGGTGGTTAATGTGCTCTTATGGTGACTACTTCTAGCTTAAAGCGTTGCTCCCTCATTCAGCCTGTATTTCTCATCAGTAAGATGTTTTCTGATAGTTTGATAAATAAGTTATCTAACTAAGGGTGCTGATGCCCTGAGCTGTTCAGCTCCTGGTTATGCTTCATGTTGAGAGGGTCAGCAGTGGGTGGGTTTTAATCAAATTATTTGTGGATTGGAGTGGTTTGGGGTTGTTGGTTTCTTTGCGCTAGTTGTCTTTACTTTGTGCTCATTAAAATGCTTCAAGTTATACTTAAATTTCATTTTTTTCAGTGGGAAGGGTTTATTAAAACAAAAACCCCCAAAAACAAAACAACAAGACCGGCAGCATTTACTTTGGAGTCTACAAGCAAAATTATTTCCAGTTTGGCATGAAACTTTCTCAAACAGGCGAAAAGCATCCCTCTGAAGCAAGCAGGGAAATGTGCAGACATGGGCAGCTGCTGTCATTTCTTGGGCCCTCTCTGCTGAGTTGGGTCCCTGCTGCATCCCTCCTGGCAGAGCTGTGCCAGTCCAGCATGAAGCATCATCGCTGCCGGTGCAAGCTGGAGATAGGTTTTTCTCCTAAAATCAAACTTAACCAATGTTGCAACACAACATTGTCCAATACGCTGAAGCCTGGTCTCTCCTAAACTTGGTGCGTGCTGCAGATATAATGGAAGAATACTTGAATTGCTTAAGCACACCTTCTTCTGGAGTCTGGGGAAGCTGCGGGCTCAGCTCAGGCATCAGAGAATCATAAAATCATGGAATGGTTTGTGTTGGAAGGGACCTTAAAGCTCATCCAGTTCCAACCCCCTGCCATGGGCAGGGACACCTTTCACCAGACCAGGTTGCTTCAAGCCCCGTCCAACCTGGCCTTGGACACTGCCAGGGATGGGGCAGCCACAGCTTCTCTGGGCACCCTGTGCCAGCGCCTCAGCACCCTCACAGGGAAGGGTTTTCTCCTAACATGGTGCAATGTCCTCCCCTGCCCATGAGCAAGCCGGCAGACCGAGCCACCACTTCCAGATCTCCTTTGTCCTCCTTCTGCTCGAACATTAAGGGCCCAGGCAGTGTTTCTAGGAAGTGCAGCATAAGTCCAGTAAAGCACTTAGCAAGTCCCCAGCTGTAGGTATATAAGCAGTTGTGTTGGATTTATGCTTTTAAAAGTAGCAGGGGATTTTAGGAGGCTTTTGCTTGTATCTTGAAGGTTAGTAAAGGCCAACTTCTTCTGTGCTGGGAGTGACATTCATCACAGTGGCCTTTCCTCTGATGAGTCTACTTGAACAACCCAACCTCCTCCCCATGCGACTTTGGACTCTGGTCCTGTGGAGGTTTATGTCATGTTTGACTTCAGGGTGGTGTCCTGGAGAGATGCTGATTTCCATAAGTCAGCGTGGGTCCCTGAAAGCTGAGCCAAGCATCCAAGAGGGGCTCCTGGCCATCTCTCTGTCTCCATCCAGCACCCAGCTCACTTGGCACGGGGGCGGTGAGAGCGCTGAGAAGGAAGCACAGTGAGGCTGCTGACTAGATTGCATTGCTCCCCAGTGCCCATGTAGAACAGGAACACTCTTGAGCAGTTCTTTCTCCATCCCTTTGAGGTTTTCAGACCATCTGTACAAGTTCCTGTTCTCCCTTTGTGGCCTCATGCGTGTTGAGGCAGCCTGGGAATTCGTGGGGAAGCAAAATGAGGTGTTAGTTGTGTCTTGAGCCGCTTTGCACCTCTGCACCAGGAAAAGCTGTGGTTCTTTGTGCTGCAGAAACTAACCCAAAACAGGAGGATCAGGCTGGTTTGCATAGGGTACACAACTGAATGTCAGCAGGACGTTTATCCGCTTGGTCTGTGTTTTCCTGTACCCTGCTTTGACTGAACAGCTCTAATGTAACTTCATCCTGCTATTGCCAAGGATGGTCTGTCTGTGTGTGTGTTTTCCTGCTGTAATACAGGGCTTTGAGAAATATTTTTTTCTTGAAAATCCTTGGGAAAAAAGCACTGAAAGCTGCTCTGTGTACCCTCTGGAAGAGAGGTTTGCTTCAGCTGTGCCTGCATTCCAGATGCTGCTGCTTTGCCCTGCTGCTGTGCTGGAGAAAGGGCAGCCAGCAGCTGAGCAAGTTTGATCCATTGAGTGAACTTCAGGTGGAGCAAACAGCTTTTCATGAGCTTCTCTTTATCTTGAGGCCAGGCCCATGGGCTCCTGTCCCTCTGCCTGATGCCTCCAGTGACATGGGTCAGCTGTAGTTCAGAGCTGGCACTGGCAGATCCCACCACAACCATGATCCCAGAGACAAAAATTACTTGGATGGTTCAGAGGTGCACTGGGGAAGTCCCATAAGTGCTGGGAAATGAGCTGGTGCTTTGATGCAACAAGCGCTTTGTTTTAGGAGGGTGTTTCTCCTGCTCCCAGGGCTCTCCTCTGAACATGAGGATAGTTCTAGGCTCAGTGTGTCCAAGCAGGACCATCCCTGCCCACATGTACGAGCACCAAACACTAGCGCCTTCCTGGCGGGCTGAACTGGGAGGAAAACCCAGTCCTCCATGCTCCTGGCGTGATGTGTTAAAAACCAAATCATGCTGCTTTCCTAGAGCCTGCTGCAGGTAATGGTCCAGTGGGTAATCCCTCTTGGACTCAACAAATCCGTACTCTCTACAAGGTCTCCCTCCAACTCTTATGTAGTGTGTATTTCTGTAATCTGCTTTCCGAATGCTGTTGTCACAAAGCACATGTGGCCTGAAAGGCGTGGTGCACCCCAGGGTGCTGCTGGGTCATTGGACCTGGAGATGGAGCCTAACTTGGACGTGGGCTCACACTGTGGTTGGAGGTTGGATTTCTGTGCTTAGAAGTGCAGTGCTGCAATAATCAGCTACCAAATGTGTTTTGTCCTGCTCTGCAGCACGACTGTGTATCTGTACTCTTATTTCTTTCCCTCTTGTGTTTTTACCAGGCAAATGAGGTGACTGACAGTGCTTACATGGGCTCAGAGAGCACGTACAGCGAGTGCGAGACCTTCACGGATGAGGACACCAGCACACTTGTACATCACGAGATGCACGATGAAGTAGAAACAGACAGTGCCATCGACTCCACCGTGCACTCAGAGTTCACAGATCCCATCGAGGAGCCAGAGCATGGGTGAGTGGGGAGGACGGGGAGCAAAACTCACTGTGTGGGGCAGGAAACTGGGAGCAAACCAAGAGCAAGGATTTAAAATGAAGTGGGCTGAGCCTGTCTTGCTGAAACCGGTTGATTCCTTCTTTGTATTTGTAACTTCATGCAAGACCAAAATAGCTCTTCTTTAAGAATAATGACAATTAGACTGCACCATGTGTAGGCTGATTTGGAACTTGGCTTGGCAATCTCTTTGAGTTAATCGTTGCTTTGCCTTTGGGAGAAGTTCTGTACCCTCATTAGCATCCTTAACCTCTAAAATAAGTTCTCAGGTGATCCAAACACCTGAAATGCTTGCAGTTTTTAATCTATCACTTAAGACAGAAATGCAACATATAATTTTCAAGTCGGGAGGGGAGCTCACCATATTCTTGTTTTACCTAAATACGCGTGTGCCCTTTGATGTGCAACCAGCTCCTGTAATAACTAGTTTTAAACTTGTGCCTGAAGCACAGAAGTGTGAGCTAAGATCTTCTTCCCCGAATCTGAACTGCTGCTGGCGAAACTGTTCCTGGGCCCACCTCCTTTCCTAGCTTTTGCAGGAAAAGTGGGTGTCGGGGTGAAACTGGGATGCTGGCAGGCGGGAGGGGAGGGAATAACTCCTTTAATAGTGACCCAAGAACACAGGTCTGCACTGAAACCTCTGGAACAATGATGGGTTAAGGTCTGCTAATACACAGAATTGTTTTTTGCCGAAAACACATCACCCAGGCTCGGTGCTCTGGTGAGGACATACAATTCTCATTGCTTTTAGAAAGCACTGGACTTCCCTCCAGCCCAGAATCTCATCTGGGGATGGCAGGGGGCGCTGTGAGCGGTCAGTGCTGCTGGGCACTCAGCACTGGGAATGAAAGGGTGCTGTGGATTAGAGAATAAATGAGATTATCAGGCTGGGCTCTTCTTGCCCAAGCATTCAGCTCAGTGACTGTTAAACTGGGATACAATGGGTCGCTGAGCTACCCAACCACAAGGCAGAGGGGCTCCGGAGGGGCCATGACAGCCTGCGTGCACTCTCGTCCCCTGGGGAGATTGACGTGCCTTGGATTCACCTGCCTGTAGGTACCAAATACTTTGCTTGGGAACTGATTCTTTAGGTTCTTCTTGAGGGTTCCCGCTACTCCCAGTGTGGGCTTGCGAAGGTGGGGTGTCCTTTGGGTGCTCTGTCCAAGGGCAGTGGTGCCTGTTGACAGGTGTGTGAAATGTACGCAAATTGCAGGTGGCCAAAAAAATCAAGGAGAAAGTTCATTTGGCTTCATGATTTGGAAGATTTGAGATGGAAACCTCTAGAAATCTCGTACTAAGTTGTTATGGGCTGATTTTGGTGCCATCAAAACCCAGGCAGGACAATGGTTTTACACCTCTAGTGCCCAGAGCCCTTCCAAGGGACAGTCAGTAAGTACAGGCTGACCAGCGCAGCTGGGGGACTGAATCAAACCTTCAACAGTGCTTTCCAGTAGCTGTTATAGCTCAGCATACCTTAGATGGTTTGAGGTTAAGTAGTTATTTAGGCTGAATCTAGTAAAGATTAGCTGGACTCTGGATCTTGAAGCTTCTAGAGCACCGTTATAGAGGTATGGGAAATTCTGTACTATTTATTGCCTGAAGCCTGATCAGATTTGTGCAGTGCATGTCAAACCACAGCCCCAGATTTAGAGATTTGGGGTTGGGTTTTGCTCCCAAGATAAAAATTCCACCCCCTGCCTTCTATTCCTGGTGAGGTTTCCAATGCTTTTGGCAGTGGTCTGCTGGGTGCAGCGTCTGACTCACTGCTGGGGAGGCTGGATCCCACTTTGGGAATAGTGGCACTTCGCTAGTGCACAAGGGGGATGTGCAGATGCCCACAAGCTGGACTAGACTTGTCTGCACTTCAATAGAGATCTGCTGCTGTTTTGGCTGGAGGATTGATGTGTTTTTATTAGTGGGATAAGGGCAAATCCTTCAGATGGTGCAGGTTTTTGTCATAAATGGCTTATCTGTAATCTTTTCTTTCTGATTTAGTACAGCAATCTAGTCACGCCCCCGTTTTCCCTCTCCTAGCAAGTGGATGCAGATGAGGGCATAGCCTGAAATACCAGTTTTTATGATAATGCAATCTTTCTTGTTTTCAAGCATTGAATTTTGGAGAAGAGAACAGTGCCCGTCCCCCCAAACACATACCTGTGGTTCAGAGGCACGTGGGCTGCTTTCACAGCCTGGTTCTTACAGATTCCCCCTGGCTTGTTCTCCCCAGGTTTGAAACCTTCTGAAGTCCTGAGCAGGACAGTCACAGGACCACAGACTGGTTTGGGCTGGAAGGAACCCTGAAGCTCATCCATTCCCAGCCCCTTACCACAGGCAGGGACACCTTACAGCAGACCAGTGTGTTCCAAGCCCCATCCAACCTGGCCTTGAACACTGCCAGGGATGGGGCAGCCACAGCTTCTCTGGGCAGCAGTATCCGTAGCTTCTCTGGTATCTCGTCATCCTCAGTCCTCTGAACATGAGGATACTCTGAGTGTGTGTACTGCTGCGTTAGTTTGACTTCATACAGCTATGAAGAAACTACAAGAAAGGTGGAGAGGGCCTCTGGGGACAGGACAAGGGGAAATGGCTTTAACCTGACAGAGGGGAGACTGAGATGAGCTCTTAGGCAGAAGCTCTTCCCTGTGAGGGTGCTGAGGCGCTGGCACAGGGTGCCCAGAGAAGCTGTGGCTGCCCCATCCCTGGCAGTGTTCAAGGCCAGCTTGGATGGGGCTTGGAGCAACCTGGTCTAGTGGAAGGTGTCCCTGCCCGAGGCAGGGGGTTGGAACTGGATGAGCTTTAAGGTCCATCCAACCCAAACCAGTCTGGGATTCTATGAAGAAACAGCATGTCTGCTGAAATGGAGACATGGAAAAGGGATGTATTAGACGCATTTGGAAAGGCTGCTGTGCTGGCCACCCTCTAATGTTTTTCCCTCTTTTCCCACAGATCCCATCCACACGACCTGCCCCTGGGCTCAGACCTCAGCCACTCCATTGTTACTGTCATCAGTGGAGAGGAGCATTTTGAGGATTACGGAGAAGGGAATGAAGCAGATCTGTTCTCGGACAGCTTGTGTAATGGGGAAAGCAGTTTTAATAGCTCCTCGTTCCTCTCTCCCAGGTAATGCTCAGCACAGCACTGGCAATGTTTTAACCCATTTCAGTTGCTTGGTATCTTCGCCTGTACGTTGTGTGTGAGAGTTTTTCCCTCTGGATTTGCACATTGGTCAGCTTGCAGGAAGGGGTTTTTCACAAACTGGATACAAAGGGATAATTAGCTCAGAAGTGGCAGAGGTGTTGCCTCCCTCAGTCTTTCCTTTTCCTGAGCAGTCTCCAGCCTCCCATTCAGAAGCACTAATGCCCAGTAGCAGGTGGAAGAAGAAGTCCACATCTCACATGTGTTCAGGACAGCATCACATTCCCACTCCTATTAGGGATGTGGCTCCTTGCAGAACCTTCCAGTACAGAAAACCACTTCTCAGCTTTCCCCACATCCTGTTGGATGTCTTTATCTTTCGAATTTTCTCTCTTGTGCTTGTATTTTTGGCTTTGATGTGATGCTTGGCTGGATTTGCACAAGCTGCAGCATCCTTCTTTTTCTTTCTCTGTACAGCTGCACTCCTTGCGCTGGGGTCTGAAACCAGGCAAGTACTGTGGCAAGTACAGTACCATGTGGGGTGGACTGAGAAGCTGCTGTGACATTACAAAATCCACCAATACTTACTTTCTAAGATAAAAAAAGCTGAAGCTGGAATGCTCAGCCCACCAAGTCTCTGTGATGACAAATAGCACCAGAGACACGTTCCACCCTGGGGCAGGGCATCTCCGTGCAAGGCAGGAGTGGTCCCTGCCAGCCGCACCCTTGTCCTGAAGACAAGAACATGTTTTATCCTTTGGGATTATACACATTAGTGTCTTCTGCAGCAGTGTGAACTCGTCATAACATTTTTTTGCTGTCTGCCTGTTTTCCACCAGCTTCCCAAAGCCCTTCATAGGGTTTGGGCTGTTCTGGTTGCACAGGGCTGAAGAATTGCTCTCCAGATCTCCAAACCTGCATTTTGCTACAGGCCAAAGCTGACTTTTGTTTTGGAAGCAGCACTTTTGAAGGTGTTAACTAAGCCTGCCATAGGGGAGTGTTGCTGTGGAGCATGCCTAACCAGTTACTTCAGGAAACCAGCACTCCAGAGCTTGATATGATTGGATACCCTGCAGTGGAAGGGGCACAAGCTCAGCCACACTTGTCCTTTGATTGCACTGGGCAGAAATGCTGAGGGTGGCTGTCTGTCCTGGTGCTGCAGCTCTTGGATAAAAAGCAGCCTTGGTGTTCATTTTGAGGGTGGGCTTCCAACCTGGTCCAGAAGGCTCCTGGCAAGAAAAATACTCATCTGAAGGAGCTTTGCAATCGGGTAGGCTGTATCTTTAACATCAGTCTGGAGCTTGCCGGTTGCCCACACATTCAGTTTTCAAATCTTGCTCTGTCAGATTATTGTCTCCCCTCTGCTCTCCGTCTCTTTGGATTATATCCATGAGATCCTACTCTGCAGCATCCCTCCTCTGCTGGGAGGGCCTCACTCCGCACGTGGCCACACAGCTTGTGGTGGTTTATGCTGGAGACTCACTGCTGGGGCTTGCTAGGGAGATAAACCCTGCACCACCTCCAGAGCCAAGAATGCAGTCTGTTTGAAACAGAGGATTTCCCCATGCCTTTCAGGTCTAGCCCTTACCATGGCTTGTGTGTGGCGGCCCTTAGCTGATTGTTCTCTGTGATTGGGCTGTTTTCCTGAATAAAGCCCTGCCACCCCAATGCATTTAAACATAGGGAAACTTTAAAGAACTACAGGATATTGCTGGTTCAGGCTTAACTCTTTCTCTTTTTTTGGCTGTGGTTTGAATATGAGGAGTGGCATCACTTGTAAATGGTCACATCGCCACGCACTCTTTCTGTGTTACAAGAGAACAGGAATGACATCAACCAGTTTTCCTGCCACAGCTCCAGATCTTCACCAGAGCTCCAGTACAAACCCCAATAAGCACCAGTGACCTGTGGAAGACAAACGTTACTCCACGAGATGGAGGGAGGAGGCGCAAATGCTGCACGTGGCAGTTTGCCATGAGGGGAAGGTGGGGATGCTCCGAGGCTCAGTGCGGTTGGGCTCTCACCCACTCAATGGGCCCACAACCAACGCAGCCGGAGGCCTAGTATACGTGCACGCACCCGAAGAGCTGCCAGGCTGGCCCGTGGGCTCTCCTCCACACTGCTTTTCCCCTGTTTGATTAATGTTTGTTAGATTTGGGTTCACACCTCGCCCAGGGGTGCGCTCAGGTGAGCTGGTTTGGCTCTACTCACTGAGCAGAGCCCAGAAAAGGGCACATCCCTTCTTCAGATGCCACAAAGCTTCTGCCACCTCTTACCCTGTGCAAAGCCTGAGCAACTGAACTGACTGCTGGTAAATAATGGTTACCCTGGTCCAAGCCTGCCCTGGAGGGTAGGGGGAATGTTTCCCAACTAATGTTTTTTTTCCAGGAATGGGAAGAGCTGAGTGTTTTGGCATTTACTGTTCTTCAGTTATTTGTTCTAAGGGAGCTCGGAAATACTGTACAGACAGCACAAGCTCAGAGGCCTGATCATGGGGATGGCAGGGGCACCAAAAATGTCCCTGAGGGGTTAACACAAAGGGGCTGAGTCCTGCTGGGGTGTCCCACGCACTCATCGTCTCCCGGGCCAGGACTTGCCAGTGTGTATCTGTATCTGACAAGCCCTTTCAGATGCCTTTTAGTTTTAAGCTTGCTTGTGTTTGCTCACCCCTTTACCTGTCTTTCTTATTGAACTGCTTTGGTTTTTCGCTATTAACCTTTCTTTGATTCAAATCTGTGGCTTCCAGAAGCATGTTTTCCTACAAGAAGGTTTTGTGGTGTGTAGTTGGCCCCGCAGTACCACAAACTCTTTGCTATTGAGAAACCCTTGGCCAAGCTCTGTCCTACCCAAGTCATGTCAGGTGGGGGAATGGCTCCCTGGCTTGCCAAATGCTGGTGGGTGCCTCAGAGCTTATTGTCCAAATCAGCAGCTGAAAATAAAAAGCTGATCCAGTCCCCTTAATTTCCCAAGCTGTTAAAGCCCTGTAGACACCTTGCCAAATGATGTTCTCTACAGTAAGCCACCACCGCTGCTTAGCTTCCTCATTCTTCATCTTGTAGGACAGAGAAGTTGAATTGCAACCACCTTTTTGAGCTCAGCTTAAAAGCTCCTTGTAATTAAAATCTGCCTTTGTGTGTTACTGAGGTGGGACCGCAGCAGCATGCTGCTCTGCTCTTAAAGCATCCACTGGAAATGATTTGGCTCTCGCGGCAGCCAGCCCAGCAGTGAGTTCAGTCTGCATTTACTGAGGCAAACCAGGACCATTGTTAGAGCATCCTGAGACAGGTTGCTTGGAAAATCCTGTTGGAAAATAAACTTTGTAGTCATGTGGGTTTGTGGAGAGCATGCATGTTCCCTTCCCTGGGCTCTTGGTGGTCCTCTGAAAGAGCTGGCTGTTCAGCTGGCTTTGGAAACATGAGCCAAGCTCAGCTGCTGTAAATTTGGCTTCTAAATTAAAGAGAGGGACAATGGCCCAATCTGCCGTGCGTTTTGAATTGTGAGTCTTGTGTCTGTCCCCCAAAGCTCCCCTTCACCAAAGTACACTCAGCTTGTGGAAGCCACGATGAAGTCAGCCCTGTCTGTTCTGTTCTGTCCTGTTGAAATGACCCTTGTGATCTCTCTAGCACCCATCCGCTTGCTGCGAAACTGCACAGCATTATCGCAGATGAAGCATTTGAGTTTTACTGTAGCCAGTGCCACAAACAAATCAACCGCCTTGAGGATCTTTCTGCTCGCCTGAATGATCTTGAAATGAATAGGTAATTGGGCTCGTGTATGGCCATTTCAGTGTTGGGAGTAATGGTCTGGAAGGGAAGACTCTCCTTTGTCTGGCACAGCTTTACTTTGCTGCTGTGTTGCTTGATTCCTGGTTGGTAAAGGGGTTGAATTCCACCAGATAAAGTGAGCCTCTCCAGGCAGTAAAGGTTGTCATAACCATTATTAAGGTTATTTGAAGGCTGTAATAAGAAGTTCCCTTTACTCTGAGCCACAGAGGCTGGCAGACAATGAGAGTCTTCCCTTCTGCTCCGGGCAGCCTCTTTGCATGTCCTGCTGAGTGGTGGGTGCTTCTCCACACAGAGTTTTGCAGTCCGTGCACTGGGAGTTGAAAGCTGTAAGCTGATTGTGTACAGTATTTCTGTCACCAAGGAAAAGCCCACCAGGCCTTCGGGCTGGTCATACCCAGTGTGGAGGCATGCCTGAGTTACTGGACCAACCTGGAAAAGCAGGTAGAGCCTTCTTCTGAAGACAGCAACTTGCTCTCCATGGCTTGGAACCTCTCCTGTAGATGCTTTTGCTTGCCACAGTAAGATCTCATGTCATCCAGCTGCCTGCCCACTCACGGGCCATTACCAGCTGGGTGGATGTGATAGGAACCAAGGCCTTTGCATAGGAACTTCATGAGGTTCGAGTGTAATGTTTGAGGTCCACCAGCCAGCAGCTGGACTTGCTGATCTGACAGGTGGAGAGGGGTTTCTATTTGGTTTTTAGCTTTTCAGAGCTGTTTGTCATCTGCTGGGTAGAAGGATTGTGGCATTAATGATAATCGTGCTTTTCACATCTGGTGTACTCTTTTAAGCCTGGTTTTCAGTTATGCTCTTGGTCTTTGTTTGTCCTACACAGGGCCAGTGTAACATGGGAGCTCTCTTGGGCTCTATAGCTATGGGAAGAGAACAAATAGGAGCTTGACCTTATTTTTTTTTTTTTTAATGGAAAAAGTACTTCTGTCCCTTTCTTTTCCTCATGTAAAGAGTTGTTGGAGGCCTTAAGGGTCTGTGATGGGTCATGGGTTATGCAGTTAAGGATAACACTGGACTGCCCGTGATGCACCAGTAGCCCCACTCCATTCCAGGCTTTCTCCACGAAATTGACCTGCAAAGCTGAACTAACACCTCAGAGCCTCCCGTGATGGATGGGACTTCCAGAGGAGGTTTCCCCATCCTGTAGTGTTGCGGTGGGAATTCCAGAGGTTCTGATTTAACACGTGTCCTTCAGGCTCAGGGCAAGCAGGTGTTGTCGTTCCTCCATCAGTGTCCAGGGTTTCCCATGCTCAGATTTGCTAGAAATTGGTTTCATGTGCCCTGTGCATGGACCCAACAGAAGGGGCATTGCCCACCCTTTCTCTGTAAGGACGTGTGAGGTGTCCCCATGCAATGTGCGGGATGTGGCAGGGCCTGTGGTTTGCTCCCAGCATCACGAGCAATAGGAAGCCCTTAGTGCAGGGGACAAGTCCCAGACTGCAGGCAAAGATTGCAGCAGGAAATGGACCAAGACCTGAGCCCAACAGTCTCACACTGTGCCTGTTGAGGCCTGAAGACACCCGCTCCACAGACAATGCTGGCAGCTGGGGTGAAGCCTCACTCTTAAAGGCTGTGGGCATATATACAGTGCTTTATACTTGGAATAAGATGGGGAGCCTGGTCATAGCGTTGGGACACTTCTCTCTGAACCTAAGGCATGGGAAGGCGGGGAAGAAATCTGCAAGGAGCTTGGGATGAGCCAGTTCTGTGGAAGTCTTCAGTTTCAGTGTCCTTGACGCAGTAGTTGTGTGTGGCTCATCCGCTCCAAGAGCCACCCGCAGATGCCAGCCCTGCTTTCCCGTAAGTGTTTGCAGGGAAGAATGTTTTTCCTCCCTCCAGTGCTGGGACATGCGTGAATTCCTCATAGGAATTGCTGGCAAACACAAGGCCCTGACCTCGGGTGGGTGTCAAGTGTCCTTGAAGCCCGTCCAGCAGTGGCTCCTGTGCTCCTTGGAAATGTGTGTCTGAGGATGTCCTTTTGACACGAGGGCTGGTGGCTCTGACAACAGCCCCTGGTGGGTCATTGTTGTTATAGAAAAGAAAATTGCCCTGAGCTATTTTTAATTCCTCCTTCTAAGAAGTAATGAAGTTGTTGCAATTCCTGGCAGGAATGGACTCCCAGATGAGTCTTTAAACTGAGCTAAGCACCTGGGAATGCAATTGTTGCTTCTCCACTCAGGCTAGAGCTGCGTTTGCTGCCATCGCTCAGCAGTGATTTGTATCAGTAATGTGTCCCAGTGGCATCTGTTTGACAACAGTGTGTGTTTGGGTGGAAGATGAGGAGTGAGAGCCAAGCCCCCGCTTGCTTCACAAGCACACAGCTGCATCAGTCAGAGCACTGGAGCAGCTCTGCTCTGGAGCCAGGCTGAGAGAGCTGGGCTTGTTCAGCCTGGAGAAGAGAAGGATCCTTAAGGGGAGACCTTAGAGCAGCTCCAGTGCCTAAAGGGGCTACAAAACATCTGGAGAGGAGCTTTGGACAAGGGCCTGTAGGGACAGGACAAGGGGGAAGGGCTTTAACCTGACAGAGGGGAGACTGAGATGAGCTCTTAGGCAGAAGCTCTTCCCTGTGAGGGTGCTGAGGCGCTGGCACAGGGTGCCCAGAGAAGCTGTGGCTGCCCCATCCCTGGCAGTGTTCAAGGCCAGGTTGGACGGGGCTTGCAGCAGCCTGGTCTGGTGGAAGGTGAGAAGCTCCGACAGCCCTGTCCTGAGGGGCAGGGTAAAGCAGACCTTGGCTGCTTGTGCTGTGGGTCATGCTGAACCTGACCGCTGTGGTATGGTGGCAGCTGGGTTGGGAATATACAGAGCCAGGGTGTGTGACCTCCGTCATCTCCTGGTGAGAAGCAGAGCTCATACCCCTGTCCAGCAATTCTAACTGTGCCCGTGCTCATGCTCAAAACCCCAGAAGGGGCCACAATCAACAGCTCCTGAAACACCTGAGCTACATGTAGGCGCCGATTCCCTGCCAAACAGCGAGAATGACCTTTGTGGGAAGTGCTAGGCAGTGCAGAAGGGTGGAAGCACCCATGTAGGGGCAGGGAGGGCCAGGATGCTGCAGGATCCACAGCTCAGTGTGCCCTTGGCGCTGGGCTGAAGCCCACCAACCCCATGGCTATTATTAGCACTTTCCTTGGGGATCAGTTTTCAGCCAGTGAGAGGACACGGCCGTTGCCACCGGTGAGGTTATTCCCTTTGGTCCGGTGTCTCTGCGTTGGCGATGCCTGTGGCTGGGCTGCGCGGGTGCTGCATGCTGCATGGGCGCTCCCCTGTGCCCCGGAGTGCTAGCTGTTTCCTGCTTCCCTTCCTCTCCACTGTCGGCTTTCCTGACGCTTTCCTGTTTGTTCTTCATTCTGCAGCCCCAATAAAAGACTCTCAAGCAAGAAGGTGGCAAGGTAAGCTCATACTCCTGTTACTGCTTGTGGGGGGGTGTCCTTCCTAGCTGATGAGCCCAAGGAAGGAAGGCTGTCAAAATAAGCTTGTAGCTTCTGGATGTGTTGCATAGTGCTGGGGAAAAGCAGGTTTCATTCTGATCCAGTTTGCAATAGCAGTGGGGGATTTCTCACCTGTGCACGCAGCTGGTGCCTACCTGATTTCTTCTGGGGCAAAAGTAGGGGTGCTTTCCCCCACCCATCCTGCATGTGCCCTAGCAGGGGGCACGTGGAGTGGGGGAAGGAGTCTCTAGAAAGGCACATCCCTCTGGACTGCTCAGCTGGGCTCTCTCCTCCCCAGTGCCACCATGGTGGGTCTCTAGAAGACCAGACCACTCAGTCCCCCTACTCTGAGGGATTTCCCCAGAGCCCCCCCAAGAAAAGCTACCCACCTTTAGACGACTCTCTTGGTTCTGACTTTGCTCGGTGTAATCTCAGCACTGGACTCCCTTCTCCATAAAGGGGCTTTGCTCTGAGTCACTGTGCAGAGGGTCCAGCCCCTCTCAATGATACTTGGTGCTCATCTTTCCTTTCCCAGCTCTGCCATCCCTCCTCTTCTATGTCATCCTGCTTTTGAGAACACACTGAGGCTGCCCCTGCCCCTGGTCCTGCTGGCCCTGCCTTCTGCAGTTGTTTCTGAGTGGAATAGGAATGCTGCAGAGGAGCAGCAGCTCAGTTTGGGTGATGCTCGTGCCCCCATGCCCTGGAACTCGATCTGCTCCTTCAGCCTCTCTCGCTGTGCTCTCACACCTTTCCCTTCTCTGTTTTTTTCCTTGTGGTCAGCAAGTTTCCCCTGGCACAATTTCCCCTCCTGGCAAGGAAGCAGGTCCCTGATATTACATTTCCTACTTCCTGTCATCTTACTTTCTAGATCTTTGTTAAAAACACTGGCAGGAAAGAAGGTTGCAGGGAGCAGCTTGTCTCCAGGTTTCCCGGTTTAGAACTAGTTTTTGTCCTGTGTCTGGCAGAGCAAATTCAGGGAGGATTTGAGTTAAACTTGGGAATGGAAGTGCCCTCTTATGGGATTGAGCCCTTCTGGCTCTTTGCATGTGCAAGTTGCTTTTCCGAGACTGGGACTTGTGGGGTTAGGTAAATACTGGTTAATTCAAGAGCAGTCGAGTTTAATTTGTGGTAATAAGAGAGAGAACAGGCTTTTGCTGCAGAGTAGAGCCAGATCCTTAAGATGAACCCACAGAAAGCCCTTTGCAGGTACTGTAATTACTGAATAATACCAAACCATGTGCTTCTAGGAAACTGATTTTGTTTTGGTAAGGGCTCTTTCCTGGGTTTTGTTATCCAGGTTCTGCTTGTGCCAAGAAATTTCAGCTGCTTAGGCTCTGTTGTGCCTTGGCATGATTTAAATGACAAATGTGCCTGAGAGTTTAGAATCTAAATATATATTCAGGGTGAGGATGCAAAATAAGGGTGGTAATCAGCTATAGGCTCTTTGGTAAATGCCACTTATATTTCATGAATATTTGCATGAGGATATTGTGTAGCAGGGTGAATTTGAGAGCCCACCTTACAAATTCCTAAGGAAAACTAAGGCTCAAAGAGACCTCCATGGTTTTCCCATTCACCTCCTGCTCAAAGCAGCACAGGCTGCTCATCATTCATGTTGCAGTGGGGGAATAGAGTGGTTGCTTCCAGGCAACATCTGCCTGGAGCTCACAAAGCTGGAATACAGCTCTCCCTCCCCATGGCAATAGCAGTTTGCAGTGCCATATGCCCATGGAGCTGATCCACAGTGACACCACAAGGATGAAGCACAAATCAGCCCCTCCACAGGGTGTCCTTTAGAGCGCTGCAGAGTGCGGCCACCAGTGTCACAAGGCCTGGGTAATGATTAGCTCACTCTGGGCTGTCGTGGCTGGTGTGAGGAGGTGGGCTGGGGTGTTTCACAACAGCTTCAGGGTGTTGTTTCCTGCCCTTCTTCCTCTTACGTCCACTGCACTCCCTTCTTATTAACCTTGTCAGTGGCTAGAGCAGAGTACTCTGTCCTTTGCTGGATAACACGTGGCCTTGGTGGGTTCGTAACGCAGGAAAGTGAAAAGTGCGAGCTTTTATCTCTTCCCATTCCAAAGAGCAAGAACAAATGATCATGGGATGAAGTCCCAGAAGCATGTCCACGTCTGCGCTTTGCTCAGCGGGCGCGTTTATTCCGCCGGTAAGCAGCCACCCTTCAGCCCTGTTATCTGGGCACACCGGGGTGCTGGGCTTACTGCAGAACTTGATAGTGAGAAGGACCACTGCTCTGCCAGGGACCTGATCCATGCTGCCCTTTGCTGTAAATCCAGCAGCCCAAGAAGGAGCAGTGCTCTTAAACCCCTTTGGAAAAGGAGGTGGCAGCTGAGGAGGGGAGAGAGGGGCCCGGTTGTCATCTGGAATTGCCATGCCCTGCGATGGTCGCTCTAATGCTGATGTTGCTGTGGGTTGGGGTGGTTTGTCTCTATTATAGACAGTTGCATCAGACGAGCACGTCGGCCGGGGGGGTGATGGAGGACTCCTACCGGGACACCCTGGAGTGTACAGAAGAGGACATCACAGACAAGGTAAGGGTGGTGCTGTCTGTGCTGTCGTGGGGCTTGCAGTGCCCTCAGGTCTGCATGCGGGAGTTAGGCTGAAGCTTCTCACGCTGTGAAGCACAGGGTAGATGGGTGCTGGAGCCCTCCTCATTGAGAGGACGGAGAACAGGAGCACTGAGTTGAATTGCAGAGGTCCTGTGTCAGGTCAGGAGGTGGCACTGGTGTCTTCTCCACAGGGTGGAGGTGGGGAGAGGGGGGAGTAGCTACTTGCAGGCTGTATTTTCACTTCTGCTTCACATTAGATGTTCCCAAATTCTGCTTTTCTGAGATGGGCAATGTCTCTCGATGTGAAACAAGGAATTCCTTTCCTTGGCACACTCTTGCTGCTGCTGTTTATGCCACCAGGATGTAAAACCGATTTTGTGCTGGTCCAGTCGGGGTTTACTAGGGTGTTATGAGAAAAGGATTATAGGACAAGATAGGAGCATGAGAAAGGCTTTGTTTGAGCACCTCTAGCTTAAAATAGTAGGGAAAAAAGGAAAGTTAAAGATAGCTGAGCTGTGGCTTGTGTAAATGTCTGCTGCAGTCCTGAGACTCCTTGAAAATGGCTTTTTAATTCTGGAATCACAGAGAGCTGCATGGAGCGGCATGTGAAAAAGAAATACATACACATGTAGCTGCACTCAGGTGTCACTATAATGCATAGAAGATGGTTAATGAAATTAGATATCATAATTTTTACAGGTCTGAAAGATTGATAAAACACATTCCTTAGGCCATCTGGCTCAAGAAACCTTGTATGTACTTCTGGAAAAGAGCTTGTGTCTCCAGGGTTCCTTTTTGAACACACTCGCATGTTGCTCCCTGTTATCCCAGAGCAGTGGGTTGGGTTTTGCAGACATGCTTCTAATTGCCTCTTTGCTGATCATTCTTCTGTGGGTATAAATGGGATTGGAATGAATGGAAATGCAAACACAGCTGAAATAAGCCCCGTGTAGGTACAGAGAGAAAACATTCATCCCTGATCCTTTCCCACCAGCCAGCATTGGCTCCTCCTATGTGACTTCATTCCCATAGAGCTGTGAACCAGCATCTCTCAGTCCTGTTTCAGGCAGCAGGTGGTTATTCCCTGCCTCAGGTCAGAGCAGAGCTCTGGTGATCCAGCTGGTGTCTTTCCCTCTAGAATTCCATGTAGGATGTCACCACAAAGTAAGGAAAGTGTGAAGCCTTTGGCCCCATATTGGTTCATGGGAGACATCAAACCTGAGCAGCTAGGGTGTAAAAGGTGTTTTAAAAGGATGCTTTAAATCAAGGCATGATTCCAGCAGCATCTTAAAGAGCAAACCCCAGTGATGGCTCCTGAAGCTCTGGCCACCTTGTGTGCTGGAGAGCAGGATGCAGGGGATGCCAGGAGCTGTGCCGTGTGCTGGAGGCAGTGGGAGTTGCTCTAGCACTTAGTGCTGCTCTGCCAGCGGGTTTGGGCAGGGTGGCTGATCCCCCTCTCCTCTCATACAGGTGGTGTTCCTGGAGAAGCGGGTGACGGAGCTGGAGAAGGACACAGCTGCTAATGGTGAGCAGCACAGCCGCCTCAAGCAGGAAAACCTGCAGCTCGTACACAGGTAAGGCACCCCGGCTTGTGCTGTGGTCAAAACGCAGCTTGGCATTGCCCCGGGTGCCTTTTCCTTTCCCCTTCAGTGCTCTGCAGCATCCTGAACCGTCCCTGCGGGCCAGCTGCCTGCCTGTGTGCAGGCAGGAGCTGCTGGAGCATGTGAGAAAGGAAGGGGATGGACAGAGAATAGCAGAAAAGCTTCACAGCTCTGCCCTGGACAATCAGATCCTGCCCTGGCAGAGCGCAGCCGTGGTTAAATCCAGCTGGGATTCTGGCTGCCTTCTCTGCTCAAGGGTTATGCCATGCTGCAGGTACTTTTCTGGGGCTCTGGAAAATCCCAGGAGCACAGGAAATGACTTGCAGTTCAGCTGGGATAAGTGTCAAAGATTGTAGAATCCCAGACTGGTTTGGGTTGGAAGGGAGCTTAAAGCTCATCCAGCTCCAAGTCCCTGCCATGGGCACACCTTTCACTAGACCAGCTTGCTGCAAGCCTCGTCCAAGATCTTTGCAATGTTATGCTCAGATGCATGTAACTGTGACAGTGCTCTTTGGATCTTTATTTGAATTTTTTTATGTGCTTCCCTGCCCCACATGTCCATCCTGAAAGGTCTCTGTGGAGCTCTGGAGCTCCAGGGGTTGGCTCAGAGAACCATAGCAGGGGTCATGCTGCTTGGAAAGCCTCCCATTCAAGGAGGATGTGTACTTCATTGTCACTCTGTATGGAATTTCTGGCCTGCATTTTCCCATTACTTGTGGGTAGAAGGGTCAGCAGGGTCCCTACCACCCATCTTTACCTTCTCCACAGCCAGCCTTGAGCCTATTGCCTTCGGATCTGGGCTGGGGTGTAGCCCTTTGGATCCTGCTTGATGTAATCACTGTCTTTACTAATCTGGCAGGCTTCTGTCTCCCAGCAGCGTATTTACCCTTGGCAGATAAACCCAGCCAGAGTTTATCTATAGGGCTGTAAGACTGTTAAGTAACAATCATGTCAGTGATTCAAACAAAGGCTCTTCTAAGCCCTGATGAACTTTGCAGCAGGGAAATGTTTTCACTTTAGCAGCTTGGCCCAGAAGTGTCAGTCGCTTTTAATCAAGCAAAGCCCCGAGTGTAGTCGTTGCTCCTCGAGGAATAGGTTCATGTGGCAAAACCCCTTCTCCACCTGCCTGTGCTATGCAGTTCCATCAACTCTAGCATGCTCTTGGCTCTCCTGCTGCCCAGGCTGGGTGCTTAGTGCAGGGCAGGGATGTGGGTGCCTCTGCCAGAGGGCAGCTCAGTGTGCTGGTTTTTCTCTGAGCAACAAGACAACTTCAGGGCAGAGTAAAGGAGCCCAAACACTAGAAACAGCTGCAGGAGGATTTCTCTGCCATGGCAACTACAGGTGGAACCACAACCCTGGGATTTATGGTTGAATTTGGTGATCTTAAAGGTCTTTTCCAACCCAAATGATTCTATTTGGCTACTGCTGGTTCTGGGGGATGATGTGACTGTGACCCACGGGTTGTGGGTTCTAAAGTGATTACTGTGCCTCCACCCTCACTTCACTCTCTTGTCGGACTCCCACTTAAAGAGAGATATGGGGACATAAACTAGACAGAGACAAACCAGCACGCACCACCTGCTTGTTATATTTGACTGCCATGTTGGTCAGCAGTTGTGTCCTTGGGAGTTTCCTGGGCCATGATACTGTTCTCCCACTGCATCTGCTGGGATAAAGTGAATCACAGAATCCCAGACTGGTTTGGGTTGGAAAGAACCTTAAAGCTCATCCAGTCCCAACACCCTCCCATGGGCAGGGACACCTTCCACCAGACCAGGTTGCTCCAAGCCCCGTTAAGCCTGGCCTTGAACACTGCCAGGGATGGGGCAGCCACAGCTTCTCTGGGCACCCTGTGCCAGCGCCTCAGCACCCTCACAGGGAAGAGCTTCTGCCTAAGAGCTCATCTCAGTCTCCCCTCTGTCAGGTTAAAGCCATTCCCCCTTGGCCTGTCCCTACAGGCCCTTGTCCAAAGCCCCCTCCAGGTTTCTTGTAGCCCCTTTAGGCACTGGAGCTGCTCTAAGGTCTCCCCTTAAGGAGCCTTCTCTTCTCCAGGGTGAACCAGCCCAGCTCTCTCAGCCTTCACTGCTATAGGTGTGCTTCCCCTGAAAGCTCTCTGTGATTTACAGTGTGCTTCTCCCAGTTCTCCTTCCAGAGAAGGGGTGTGAAGAGCATGTGATCCCTCCCTTTGGATGGCATTGTGGCGGGGTTGGGCCATCAGGAATGGTTAATCCTCTGTCTCCTTTTCACAGAGCAAATGCTCTTGAGGAACAGCTGAAGGAGCAGGAGCTGAGAGCTGACCAAACACTGCTGGAGGAGATCAAGAAGCAAAGGGAGCTGCTGAGCAAAATGGAGAGGGAGAAGAGCATTGAGATTGAGAACCTGCAGGCCAGGTGGGGCTGGGGCAGGGCTGGGTGGTCACAGGGCTCCTGGACCCAGATCTACAAGCTGGAATACGTGTACATGCTGTCACTTTGTGACTGCAGCCTTTGGGGACACAAAGTGAGTTTAACTTCATGAAAGGTGTAAACAAAGTCATTATAAACCTTGAGTTTTGGCTGCTTCTTTTACCTTAATTCCAAAAATCAAGTCCCTCCTTTGATCCTAGTCTCAATCTCTGTATTTGAAGTTCCCTGATGCAGTTTCAGTTTAAGGTCACATCCATGTGCTTGCCGTGCAGTGCGTGAATGAAAAGGTTTGGTACTGCTTATTCCCATGAATGACCTGTGGAAGCACATTTGATGCTCACATGTTTTCCACCTTCATGGAAACAGGCAAATACCTGGGAAGGAAGAGTTGTGTGACAGGCAGTGTCCCAGGGTGCTTCATGCTACCTGTTGGCTTCCAAAGGGAAAAATCCTGTGGGAGAGGTTTAATTTGACAGGTTTTTTGCTGCTGTTCAGCCCTTCCAGCAAATGAAGGATGAAGGTGGTGGGGTTTTTTACCAGGACAGTTACCATGGCAAATGGATGTTACTTTACCTGGAGGAAGCAAAACCAAAGCCCTCTCTGAACCCCTGCACTTGCTCTGCCCAGGCCATATCTCTGTTTTTTGGTGCCAAGCTGAAGCTTGTCCATGGACTGATAAAGCTCTTGACCTAAAGATTAGAGTTGGACGTGGTTGAGAAGAGCATGGCTGTGGCCTCCAGACTTGCCAGATGTCGTGTAGATGCCCTGCTTTGTCCCCTGAGAGTAGAAATAGTTGAAGTCTCAGAATTTGCTTTGTAAAGATAACTCCCTGCTGGTTTGCCTTCAGCAGGTCCTAGTTAATATTCCCTGTGATGTTCCAGCCAGGTCTCCCACACTCGGGGTGCTTGGGTGAGTTTCTTACACGTCTCTTTCCTGTTGCAGGCTGCAGCAACTGGATGATGAGAACAGTGAGCTGAGATCCTGTGTCCCGTGTTTAAAAGCCAGCATTGAACGACTTGAGGAGGTGAGGACCAGGGGTGCTAGAGTGCCCACACCAGAGCTCAGTTCTCATGTGAGATCTGTTTAATGTATGAGCAAATCAGTTGTTTCTGTGCTCCAGTCCCTGCAGGTCTTGCCTCTGACTAGAGCTATTCGTCTTGCTATCTGTACAGGATCCCGGGGTTTGGCTTGGAAACTGGGATTAAGAAATCCCTAATAAACCTCTCTGTTCAGTGGTGGCAGCCCTGTCCTGCCTGGTTAGCAGGGGACTCGTGCCCTCTTGTGGAAGCTTGTCCCCATCCCTGCGGCCACAGTCCACAGCAGGACAGTCCACAGCACAGGAGGAGGAGGAGCAGCCGTGCTTCATCTCTACATCCTGCCTGGGCACATGTGCGCTTGCTGGATTGGAGAGTTGAGTCTCACAGATGGTAGAATCCCACACTGGTTTGGGTTGGAAGGGACCTTAAAGCTCCTCCAGTCCCAACCCCCTGCCATGAGCAGGAACACCTTCCACCAGACCAGGTTGCTCCAAGCCTCGTCCAACCTGGCCTTGAACACTGCCAGGGATGGGGCAGCCACAGCTTCTCTGGGCACCCTGTGCCAGCGCCTCAGCACCCTCACAGGGAAGAGCTTCTGCCTAAGAGCTCATCTCAGTCTCCCCTCTGTCAGGTTAAAGCCATTCCCCCTTGTCCTGTCCCTACAGGCCCTTGTCCAAAGCCCCTTTCCAGCTTTCTTGCGTCCTCTTTAGGCACTGGAGCTGCTCTAAGGTCTCCCCTTAAGAAGCCTTCTCTTCTGCAGGCTGAACAAACCCAGCTCTCTCAGCCTGTATTCAAGGCTGATGGGGCTGGGGTAGGAGCTTTGCCAAGGCACCACAGTCTCCACGGGATGGACAAGGTCCTCATTTTAGGAGAGGATGTGAGTTACAGATGTTACATGGTGCAGAGGCTGCATTCTGTTTTTGTTCAAGCTTGTGGCAGATGTAAGATTAAAAATGCAGTGAAATCCAACCTCTGCCTGCTGAAGGCACTCAAGCATTTCATCTACTCACAACCTTTGAGCCCCTGGGGGAGCACCGCAGCTCCATCTCTACTTGATGTGGCCACAGTGATGGTCTTTGTCTGCCAAGACCTTGTAAGCTCAGTGCATGGATGCTGGGGTAGGCAAACTGCTGTGAGCCTGAAGCTAAATTTCCTGCCTAGGTGTGTTTAGCCACACAAAGTTGGTTTTGATCCTTAATCTCCCTGGAGAGCCACACTGCTTTTCTCCACAGTTAATGGGATTAACAAGGAGCGAGAGGTGCAAATACTGCTCCTCCCTGCTGAGGAGAATTTTGTTGTCAGCATTGCATTTCCTCCTGGTGGGGCTTTTGGTGCTCTCCTCCATGGATACTCCAGCCCCAGCAGCTGGAGCTCCCCCTTGGAGCTGTTCTCACCTCTTCATGTCATGGGTCTTCCAGCACCAGTGCTGGCTGGGTTCTTGTGGCATTTTTGGCTGTCTGAAAGCCAAAAGGATCTTTCATAGGGGAGACCAAGTGGGAGAGCTGGGCTGTATGCTTTCATCCTGGTTTGAACTGGTTGTATTCCTTCTTGGATCAGTCCTCAGTTAAGTTCTTTAATATCTGAAACAAAGGATGAGCATCCCTAGAGTAGCTTAACATCTTGGATTCATGGCTTTTCTGAAATCCAGACCTCATTTTGTGTTTCTTCTTGGCCTGTAGCCCTTTGCTGGCTCCAGGCCCACCCAGGCAGTGTCCCACACCAGGGTATTTGCCTGTGTGCGTTTATTCTTGAGTCATCTCTTACTGCCTCTCTCTTAGCAATGCTTTTCTGGTGTGTGGCTCTTCTTGCTGCTGCCAAAGCACTCGGGCTCTGAAGCCCTCCGCCAGTAAATGAAATCCCAGCAGGCAGAGCATCCAAATGCGTCAGCAAGAAGAACCTTCCCCGTGGTGCTCAGCGTGTGCCGTGTCCTTGAGCGAGTGGGAAGAGCCCTGGCAAGCACCGAATGAAAACGGGCCCCGAGACTATTGCTCTGTGTGTCATTACAGGAGAAGCAGAAGCTGCTGGATGAGATCGAAGACCTCACAGTGCAGCTCACAGAGGAACAGGAGAAAAAGAGGAAGATGGGGGACAAGCTGAGTCAGGAGAGGCACCAGTTTCAGAAGGAGAAGGAGTCGACACAGGAGGTAAGTAGAGCTGGGGCTGTTTGCCACAGCCCTGGCCTGCTGTAGGTAGGGCAAGGTAGGGCTGTGTGAGGAAACTGGCCTTGGTAGCCTCCAAAAATAGGTGTCAGTGGAGCTTTTAGTCCTGCCTGGATAGAGAAAGGTCATACAGCAGCTTCAATATAGAACAGCCCTGGCTTTTGGATGTGTCAAAATTCAGCCCAGGTGTCTGCATCTGTAGACCCATGGGGCTGTGCCACCTCCCGTCCCTCTTCCGCATGGGACAAGCGATGATGGGATGAGGGCACGTGGAACCAGCAGGCAGTAGCAGGCAGGAAGAGAGGGGTGCGAGGCTACCTGGGGGAGAGCTGCCAGCCTCTGTGTACTTAGGGGCAGAAACTCAGCCCCTTACAGGCATCTGGGGTCGGTAATTCCAGCTGGAGGCTCGAGCAGGACTTTCTATTACAATTGGAAAGGGACTTTGGGCCTCAAGGTGAAGATTATTGTTGTGGTGATGCCGAGAGCACTTCGGGTGATGGGAAGTCACCACACTGGGCAGGAGGGAGCTCTCCAAGCCCCTGGAGGTTGCTGGTGGGGTCTGTCTGCTGCCCCATGGTGCCCTAGAGAAGTCCTTCCAGGGCTGCAGTCATGGGTTTCAGTAGCGTCCCTTCTCCTGTCTGCTAGAGGTGTGGGAGAGGAAGGGGAAGACCCCGAGAAGGATCTGTTAATCCTGCTGCAGCAATGGAGGGGTCCCCGCCAGGGACCAGGGCGAGCTGCTGGGCTTGCGGGGGTAGTGGCACTCAGTTGTCCTCTTCTCTTGTGCTGCAGCTCATTGAGGACCTCCGGAAGCAGCTCGAGCACTTGCAGCTCTTCAAACTGGAAGCTGAGCAGCGGAGGGGCAGGAGCAGCAGCATGGGGCTCCAGGAGTACAACAGCAGGACACGGGAGACGGAGCTGGAGCAAGAGATCAAGCAGCTCAAGCAGGTACCCAGTGCTGGGCAGGGAGGGAAGCGTCTTGGGGATGCTTGGGGGATGCTGATTCCATGACTCCCTGACCTGAGGAGTGGTCAGCAGGAGCCTGGGGGCTGTGTCCCAAGGAGGTGACCATGGATCTGGCAGCCCCACTGCCTTCTTGCTCTCCTGTCCTGGGACAGGAGAGGTTGGCTCCTTCTGAGAGAGCCCCTCGCTCTGCCGAAAGGAGACTGTGTGCTGTTCTCAGTGCTGTGTGAGCTGCTGTGAGGGCACCACGTCCTTCAACAGCATCTGCTTTGTCTGTTGTGAACAGGATAACAGGAACCTGAAGGAGCAGAATGATGAACTGAATGGGCAGATCATTAACTTGAGCATCCAGGGAGCCAAGAACCTCTTCTCAGCCTCCTTCTCTGAATCCCTGGCAGCAGAGATCAGCTCAGTCTCCAGAGACGAGGTACGTGCCATGGGGAACTGCTTACCTCAGCCACATCTTCCTGGGGTAGGCTGGTGCATCTGCTCTCAGCCAAAGAGGGCTCCCGTGGCCCTGTCTGTAGTCCAGCTCACCCCCAAAATCCACTTGAAAGCTGTTGTGAGCTAAGAACTACCCACACAACTGTTTGAAGAGCTTGCAGGGCTTCCCTGCCTGCCAGCCTCCTTCCTGGGAAGAGGGAAGCTGCTCCCTGTTTGCTGATCCTGGCAGCTCCGCTTTGCTGCCATGTGACAGCCGTCCTCTTCCTGGGACACACCGGCCACCGCAGCATGTGTCTGTCTGCCTGTAGCTGTCTTAAAACCCCAGGACATCTGCCCTGGAGATGGTGGCTGCTGTGGTGTGTGTTCCCCTGCTCCGTGGCTAAACCCCAGATGCTGGGGTGTGAGCCCACGTGAGCATCAGAATTCAATCTTTCAGACCCCCAAAAGTGGGGAAACACCTGGGTGTTTTGGGGGGCAAAGTGAGACGGGTGCTCCCTGCTTTCTACATCCTCTCTGGCTGAGGACTTGAGGAAGGACAAGAGAGGGCAGAACCAGCAGCTGAGGGAGTTCTCCCTGATTGCTTATACATGGCCAGGAGCATCCCAGGCCAAAGTGAAGAAAGGGGGAAACCTCCGTGGTTGCACACAGCTATGAGAAGCCCCGTTCCTGTGCAGGCACTGACCACTCACTCCCTTTCTCCCTCCTTTGCAGCTCATGGAAGCAATTCAAAAGCAAGAGGAGATCAATTTCCGGCTGCAGGACTACATTGACAGAATCATCGTGGCCATCATGGAGACAAACCCTTCCATCCTGGAGGTGAAGTAAGGGCGGCCGAGAGCTGCCGGCTGCCCACTCAGCGAGGGGTGTGCATTTGCTGCTCTGAGAGGATAAAGAGGGACTGGGAACGTCTTTGCTCTTGATGAAGGCTCAAGGAAGCATCGCATCAGGTCGTCAGGTGAATTAGCCGGCAGAGCAGGGATAAGAAAGACCAGCAGCAAGGCTTTGTTGTCTGACTCCAATGGTTTGAAACCCTTCGGCTTTTGGGGGGTGAAAGGGAACCTGGAGAAGAAACATAGGCAATGGGAAGCTAGCTGCCTGTGAAGCTGGGAACTGTCCTCACAGCGGCGTCGGACCCTCTGGGTGCAGGGTGCGAGCAGGAGCTCTGAGGAGATGGAGGAGGAATCAGTGGCGCCGATGCTTTCCCTCGCTGCCCTGTCCAGCTCACGTATCTGCTTTGCCAAAGTGTCCCGGACACACTCACTCACTGGGGCAGATCTGGGGGAGAGGGAAGCGTGTCCCGGGCTTGTAGAGGGTTCTGCTTGGTTTGTTTTTCAGTTAACTTAATGCAAACGTCCTCATTCAGCTGGCGCAGTTAATCCTTGCCCTGCTGCTCCTGTTGGGAAGGGGTCTTGCACTGGCTCCTCTCCCTTGGTGGCAGGCACAGGCAGGGAGCAGCCGTTTCGGGACACTTTGTCACCTGCCTCCTTATTTATTTGGCTGTCCGTGGCTCACTCTCGGCATTCCCGGCTCTGCCACCCTCCTCCCGGCTCCTGCGGATGGCTCTGGGAGGAGAGGCACCTTCAGCCCCCACTGCAGACACACGGATGCTGTCTGTCTGTCCAGCCTGCAGGGACGGAGGGGAAAGGATGCAACTCTTCAGTCTGCACCAGAGGCTGGTCCTGGCACACATGGAGCTGCAGCGGAGAGGGCTGAGCTCTCCCAAAGTCCCCGGCCTGGGGCCAGTGGCCTGTGCCATTCCCACCCGGAGCAGGGCTCTGCTGGTGATAGCTGCAGTCCTGGAGGGAGGGCCTGCTCCGGCTGCCTTTCCCACTGCTTCCCTGTGCTGCAGCCTGGGATGGAGCCGCCGCTCTCATGTCTCAGCCTGGGCTGAAATCCCTCTGTGCTGCGGGGGAGAGGAGACCAGAGGTGCAACAGCAGCTCCCTGGGAAACAAAAGCCATGTTTACACCAGACAGCTTTTGGCTCACTGCACGTAGCGTGACCCTGCGGAGCAGCCGCGAGAGCCAGCCTGCTCCTGTCCGGCACCGGGCCGAGAAGCCAGCAGCCTCCCAAGGATCCAGCTTCAGGTCAGGCCCAAAGAGCCATTCTTCTTCCTGCTTGCAGGTTCGGAGGTGCCAGGAGCGGCCTGAAAACAGAAGCCAACGGCGATCCCTTGGGGGGTGCCCACTCCTCCCCACAGCACTTCCACGCACGCAGTTGGCACCTCTCTTCCCATGGCGGCAGAGCCGGGTGGCACCCGAGGGTGGCACCTACCACGGCCTTATCCCTGCTGGGTGCTCCGTGCGCTGTCGGCATCAACTGCCACCACCCTCCCTGCTCACACCGCTCCTGCGGGTGCTCAACCTGGGGTGAACCCCATCCCCTTGGCCAAGGGGGGTGGAGACCCCCTGCACACCCCATCCCCTCCCTGCCCCGGGTCCGCAGGAAGAAGCCACGTAATGTACATTTCCAGAGAAGTTTTGGGTGTAAATCAGTGTATACTTGGAGAGGGAAAATTTTTCTATCTTGTAGAGTAGGTATTTTTATAGAATGAAGGTTGCTCATTTTTTTAATACTTTAAAGAAGAGAGAAATGTATCTGTGTATACACTAAAGCATATATATATATATATAAATATATAAATATGGGAGATCTGCCTTTCTCCACTTGGGATCTTGGATCCCCAGTTCTCAAACAATCGTCTTTTTTTTCCCTGTCTCTCACAAAGAGGTACTGTAACTGTAAATAAGCACCGGGGAAAAGTTCTAAGCACTGACTTGCACATTCACCATGCTTTAAAATCCTTATGGAAATAGAAACTAAAAACTGGACTTCCCAGAAATGTTCCTCTTTTCCCCACCGGTATGTGAAGGAAGTTCCCTAACCCCTCCTCCAAAAACAAAAGAGGCAAAACCAGTATTGTCTTAAATGATGTATCAATTCTTGTCCGATTAAAAGCTGTTACTATTCCTGCCCAGACCCCTTCTTTCCACATGGATGTCAATGGCACAGAGCATCCCAGTGCTGGCTCCCCAGCAGGGCAGGATGGGGGTGGAAATGCTCCAGCCCCAAAGAGGGCCCTGATTTGGGGAGATGAGGATGGGGAGCCAAGACTTGAATGGCTCCGGAGGGGCTGGAGTGAAGGGGAGCCGAAGCCTCTGTGCAGGTGGGATCTGGGGGGTTTCTCATCCCTGGTGGGATGAGGGACAGTCAGAGCTTTGTCCCTTCTCCATGTGCCCTGCTGCTCTGGAGGCGCTGGGCTGACTGGGGCAGGCTGTGGCTCGGCACTGGTGGGACTCACTGGGCTCTGCTCCAGGTGGGGACCTGGAGGCCTTCCCAAGCCCTCCTTACACTGCACTAAACCTCTCTGAGCACCCGGCTGCTGGAACTGCCCTACAAATCCCTTAAACGCTCTTACCCACCCTGCTAAGCTGCTCCGCACCCCTCTGAGCTTCCCTCCGCCTGGAAGCTGCCCCACAGGGCTTGGGCATGCAGAATTCCCGCTCTGCTCCCAGGGTGCCTCCGGATGGCTCCGGGCTGCTGCTCTGAACTCCTCCAAGGAGCCCTGCAGCACCCAGAGCTGCTGCAAAAGAGCTCCGAGGGCCCCTGTGCTGGGAAGTGCCTCCTGATACACCCTGAGAAACACCCCAAAGCGTTTCAGACTGCTCCATGCTGCACTGAGCAGCACCAGGAGCCTAAAACACCCCTGAGCATCTCTAAAGCACCCCTGTAGCACCCTGAACTTCTCAGCACCCCTCCAAGCAGCTCTAGTGCACACCAAGACTTCTCTGACCACCTCTAAGACTGATTTTACAGCTCCCCTGAAAAGCTCAACCTCCAGCATCCTGAAGCTGATCCAGGAATGGGGGAAGTAGGTGACTGGGAGCACTGGTGCAGTGCTGGGTTGCCTCAAGGAGCTGCAAACTACCTCCAAGCAGCTCCAAGCTCGGGAAGGACAGACACTGGCACAGAGCTGGAGCTCTTGAATTGCTCAAATAGCTCTCGGGCTCCTCAAACCAGCACTAAAAGGCACCAAGGTGCTAAAACCGTTTAGAGCCATTCAAAGTAGCTCTCAAAGCCCTCTAAAACTCTTACAGAACTCATTGAAATAGCTCCAGATGGATCGTAGAGGTCTCGCAGCAGCTCTGAGGCACTCCAAACCTCCTCTGCATGGCTGTGAAATGCCTCAAGTGCTTTAATGCTCCCTGAAAGGCCCCTGAACCTCCTCCAGCCCTCTCGAATGCACCTCTCAGCAGCACTCAAACCTCCCAGGAACGCCTCTAAACTTCTCCAACCAGTTTGAAACCACCCTCAGCCCCTTTTGGGTGACACCGGAGAGGGGTGAGCAATCCTCACCCTGCTCTGTGCTGCTCCAGAGCTGCTCACAAACACACCAACAGTGACCTGTGGCTGCTCAGAAGCACACAGTTTCTCCTGCATGGCCTCTGAAAAGGGCTCCAAGTGCCTCCAAACCTCTCCAGCCTCTTTGAAGCTGCTCTAGAAAAGCCCTAAAGCTCTGAGAGCTCTCCAGAGTCTCCAGAACAGCTCTGGAGCTGCCACAAGCTCCTTGCGCAGCATGGTGCGGGCTTGACATGGTGCTGGTGAGCTTCTGAGCAGCTCCAGGCAGCTCAGGGTTCATCTCCGTTAGAAACAAACCTAAATGCCTTTAAACAAATGTATTTGCTATAGGGTTATAGGTGTGTGGAGCTTCTATAGCTCCAAAGCTCTAAGGGGCAGCTGAGCTGGTTCCGGAGCACTGCTCTGAACACCACTGTGGAGCTCCAGCTTCTCCTTTCCTTACAGTGGGATGCTCTGACCATTGACAGTGGGAACTGGCTGGCTCCAAGCAAGGGTTGGACCCTGGTTGTGGTGCCGGGGTTTCAGCCACCCTAATGTCCTGGGTGCCCCCACACTGCTCCTGGCCTCAGCGGCAGCACCCCAGGATGAGCTTGAGGTGCTCAGCCAGTGCAGGCAGGATGTGGGGTGCAGGTAGGGCTGCTGTGAGTACCCAGCCATCCTCCGGCCCCTGTCACCCACCTGGGTGGTCCTGTCACTGTGCCAGCACGCAGGAATGGGTGGAAGGATGAAGGGCCAAAGCCAGTGGGAATGCTGGGCTGCTCTCAATCTGATCCTCATCCAGTGTGACCCAAGGGCATCAGCCCTCTCCCATCACAGTCCTGCCAGCACCCAAAAAGCTGCAGGATGGGTGGTGGGAGTCCATCCCACGGTGCCAGCGGGCACCTCCACATGTCTGCACAGCCTGGCTACCACCAGGGCCACCACCACCACCATGTCCTGCATCCTGCGGGAAGGGGCCATGTCCAACAGGACCCTATGGGGCTGGGGCCAGTGCAGGAATGTGAAGAGCAGGGTGAGGAGCAGGGCTCCCACTGCAGGACCCTGCTTAGAGAAGGGATTTCCAAGTCCTTCCACATCTGCTGCTGATGCTGGGATGGAGTTAACCGTTGGCAGACAGGGTGGGAGCGGGATGGATGATACCCCGAACCCTATGCATCCCTCTGTGTAAGGGGGGGAGCCCCACTGCGGCCCCTCACCCTGAGGTGCTCATGATCCCTGCGGTTGTTCCTCAGGGATGCTCCAGGAGCTCAGGCTGGGGACACAGCCCCTGGCAGGGACAGTCACACCAGAGAACAAAAGCTGTGAACCAAACACCCCACGCACCCAGCCCTGTCTGTGCCAGCCTGTGTTGAACCCTTGCTCCACGCTGGAAACCCCTGGGGGAGCTGGGCCTGCGGTGTACGGCCTGCCTGGGACCCCCCAACCCTGCCGGGACCCTCAGCCCGGCCCGGAGCCCCTGTCTCGGCGGGTCCCAGGCAGCGCCCCCAGCGAGCAGACCCCAGGCAGACGCTGCCGCAGCGGGGAGGCCCGGGCTGGTGCGATGGGAACTGGAGCAGCGGGGCAGGGCCCGGGGGTCCGGTTGGGGCGGGGGCTGCTGCAGCACCTCCCCCTGCCCTCCCCCCGCGCCGGTCCCCTCCCCTTCCCTCCCTCCGAGGGCAGCCGGCGCCGTCCCGTCCCGTCCCGGGGCTCCGCTGCGCTCCCCCCGGCGCTGCCGCCGCCCCCCATGCGGGTCCTCCCCTCCTCCCCGCCATGGCCCGGCTCTCCGTTAAGGAGCATCTGGACGGGATCCTCTCCGACTTCGAAGGTGCGGCCGGGGCTGCGGGACCTCCGCGGGTGGGGGGCCGGGTGCCAGCGGGGGGTACCCCAGGAGGCTGGGTATGAGCGGGGAGGGGGGGGCGTTTGATGCAGCTTGTGCCAGGCAGCCTGTGGGGGTGGGATGCACGTCGGAGGGAGACGGGCTGTCCCCCCCAGTCCCGCTCGATGGGGCACGGTGGGGGCTGTGTTCCCCCCCCGAGGCTGGGTATCGTGGGGAGAGATGCTGCTCCTTGCGGGGTCGTGTTAGGGTGCTCATGGGGGGGTGTGCCCGACGGGACGCAGGCTGCGCGGTGCCGGGGGCGGGGGGCTGTGGGTGTTGGCACCCCCCCTGCTCGCGGTGTGCGGGCGGGCCGGGGGCTGCGGGGTGGGGGGTCCCGGGCCGGGCTCGTCTTTCTCCCGCCCGCGATGATTTCCCGGCCGCTTCCCAGAGGCCGCGGCGGGAAGAGCCGGGAGCGCGGCCGGGGCGGGCGGCGAAACCCGACCCGGGGCCGGTGCTGCCCGCGGCGGGGAGGAATGTGTACACCTACCCCGGCACCTTAACCCCGGCTCTGCCGGGCTGACCCCACATCCTCACCCCCTCTCGCTCTGCGCCCCCCCGCTGCCGCCCCCCATCACTGCGGACACGGCCTGGGGTCTGGGTGAGGATGGGTCAGGGGCCAGGGGCAGGTTTGGGGTGAAAAGAGGCGTTTTGGCATGTCTTGGGCAGTGAGATGGATGCGGGGAGGAGGACGCCGGCCCCATGGCCCCCGGCAGCTCTGGCCGGGAGGTGGAGCAGGGCAGGACCGGCGACAGAAATACCTGCCCTGGGGAGGGCTGTTATTAGCAGCGCCCGTGCCCCGGCCCCTGACCCCTGCCCAGCCCCGGGCACAGAGGTGAACAGGGGAGGGGACCAGGACGGGACCCCCTCTGCCCCCAGCACCGTGGCCAAGCCAGAGGGGCAAGGAAGAGGAGGGTGAGGACAGCTTCGTGCCGTTGGGTGCTATGCTGGGGCAGGCTGGCACAGAGTGGGGATGAAGGGGCCTCCCCACAGCAGGCAGCCACCCGCTGCTTGGAACAGGGTGAGGAACCTGCTGCTGGCACCAAAGGTGCCATTCAGCAGAGCTGCTGCACGGCAAAGGAACTTCCTTCCTGCGGGAGCTTCGCGGGGGTCCCGGCTGCTCAGAGCTGCCGTGGTGGTGCCAGGCAATGGTGCACGGGGGAGAGAGCACCCCCTCACCACAGCCAAGCGTCCTGACTGCTCTGCCAGGCGGCTTTGAAGAGGAGCCGGGTGCTGTGATGCCCATGGGGTGGTTGGGGGAATCCATGTGGGGGGCACATCCCCACCAGCAACCCGGGATGACGGCTTGGGGTTGTGGTTACCGTCGCTCCTGCGAAGCTGCATGGGAGGCATGGCTGCAGCCCCCTGCGTGGACTCTGACCGTATGGCTGCGTGTAGGGGTAGCTCTGGCCATCAACAGGCATCAGGGTTAATGCCATGAGAGGGGGTAGGAATCCTCCCTAGGTTGGCTGTTGGGATGGATGTAGAGGGAGAAGGTCTGTGGTGGAGGATCCGGTTACTCGGGAAGGATCCCTTACAGGGGAATAAAGCAAAGGATCTCTTACAGGGGAATAAAGCGGGCAGTGTGCGGCACCGGCCGGCCCGGCACAGATAAACCGGGGAAACAATGCGGCAGCGCCGGGAGGCCGCCGGCGCCGGGCTGGTTTCCCATGCGGGGTGGGCTCACAGCGCACCCGGCTGCACGGGGGCACCTCCATGTGCTGGCACGGCTGGGGAGGGGGCAGAGCCCAGCCACGGGTGCCACCGGGTGCCACTCTCATGCCACCATCTCTCTCTCTCTCTCTCTCTCTCTGTCCCCAGCGCTCAAGAAGTCGTTCGAGGCGGAGGATGGGGACGAGGCGCCCTGCTCCCCGCTGGTGTCCCCGCTGCCCTCGGGCACTGGCGGGAGCCCCCGGCCGCCGCAGCCCGGCCACCCCCCCTGCTCCGGCAGCGCCGCCAGCCCGGCCCCCAGCCCCGTGCTGCGCAGCCGGCTCGGCGTAGGCTCCTTCCAGCCCTGCCAGGGCTTCCCCGCAGGGCCGGGCAGCGACGGCGAGAGCCTCCGCAGCTCCTCCTCCAGCCTGGAGAGCCCCGCGCCCACCGGGCTCCCCCCGCCGCCCCGCACGCCCCCCCCTTCCTCCGGCCCTGGCCTGAAGAAGGTCCCGTCCCACGGCAGCGTCTTCCCGGTGGAACTGGAGCACCCCTTCGGCGGGACCGCCACCAGCCACGGCTCGCTGCCAGCGCTGGACCTGCACATCGCTGAGGAGCCGGGGATGGGCACCCCCTCGCCAGACCCCCTGCTATGGGGCACTCTGAGCCCTTCGACCCAGCCGCACGCCCGGCAGCCGTCGTCCTCCTCCTCCACGGCCCCAAACGATGGCATTGAGGCAGCACTGGGGCTGGCCGAGGGGCCAGGGGGGCGGGATGTGGCCCTCTGTGCACTGCCCCGGCCACAGCCGAGGGTCAGCCTTGGTGCCAGCCCCATCCCATCCCACCGGTCCCCAGCACTGCCCCGAGGCCAGGGTGGGACAGCCCCGGCCCCTGCTGCTGCCCCTTCCCCGGGGAGGGCGGAGGGGCCACCACCAGCCCCACAAGCCGCCACCTTCAAGCTTGTGTCGCAGCCACAGACGGTGCAAGTGAGCTCCCAGCCTGCTTTCCTCGAGGGGCTGGTGCTGGTGCCGGCACTGGGGACCCCAGCAGTGCCTGGTGGAGTGGGGATGACCCTCCTCAGCGCTGGGCTGCGTGGACCCTGCACGGTGGCAGAGGCTGCGGTGACACTAGAGCACGGTAGGACTCTCTTCTGTCCCTTTTCCCCACCAGGTCTCCCTTGCTGGGCACAGTGTTCCCGTTGAGCTAATGTGGGGGTGAGGGTTGGTGCAGGGTGATGGTGACGCTGGGGATAGGATGATGCCCACCAGCTCTGGGGGGCTGTTGGGTGCATTGTGCATGGTGAGGGGGCCGTACGTGTGGAGCCGAGCACGGTGCTGGCAGCACTCCCAGCCCTGCGGTGCCTGGCAAGCATCCCGTGCCGCCCTGGCACTGATTGTTTTCCCCAGTGCAGGGAGACAGGTCAGGACACATGTGGCCCATCGGCAGCAGCGCCAGGCCTCGCGCGTGCCGGCTATCGCCACGATCTTGTCCCACCTCCAGCACTTTCTTCCCTTCTCATCCCTCTCCTCACCTTGGCACAGGGATGGATCTTGTTACTCCCTACCTGGGGGGGGCAGAGGAGGTGGCAGGGGGCCAAGGTGCACTGGGACTTGCTTGGCGCATGCTGGGGAGAAGATGCTCCCGGTGCAGCCATGCCCTTGGCTCCCACCATGCCGGCGTGGGTGCAGCCAAGCTAGTGCTCTCCCATGTGTGGAGTGTGGGACCCCCTGTGTCCTCCTTCCCAGTGGCTGCTCTGGGGAAGGCTGGAGGATGCCGGGGTGGTAGGAGACGGTGCTTGGGGCTCATTGGTGTCATCAGAGCTGCTGTCGCCTGGCTCTAAGTACTGACGCTGGCAAAGGCATCCATACATCTGCTCCGGGCTGGTGTGAATCATCTCCCAGCAATGCCCGTGGCCGCACTGCCCAGCCAGCCTGGCTGCCCTGCCGACCGACCGGCACTGCCCGCGGCACCAGCCAAGTGCATGGACAGAGCTCCAGATGAGCCGGGGTTATGGGGACATGGGAGAACAATGCTCAGGACCCAAGTGGGGGAATGAGGATGTGGGAGGATGATGCTCGGGGCTGAGCCAGGGTGATGGGTACATGTAGGATAATGCTCAGGACCAACCTGGGGTGGTGGGGATGATGCTTGGGGATGGGCTGTGGTGATGGGGATGATGCTCAGAGCTGACTGACGGTGATGGCAAGGTGGCTGAGCATGGCATACAGAGCAGGCCATGAGCCATCGAGCAGCGTGTGGGCACCATCTGCCTTGCAGATGGCATGGGGTTGGCAGGCACTGCTTGGGCATGGCAGTTTCTCTGCCAGGAAGAGGTGTGGATGCACTGCTTCCTCTGTGGGGACCAGCGCAGCCCCCAGCCAGTGCCACCCATGGTGTCCGTGTGGCACGTCAGTCCCGCGCCCCACGGGAGGATGCACAGAGCGAGCCACTGTGTTTCACTTCCACACGGAGCGAGCCCGGGTCACCCACGCAGGGCTCGGGGCGAGGAGGAGGAGGAGCAGAGGAGGAGCCGTAGGCTGCAGCCGCCCTCCCTGCCTGCACCCCAGGAGCCATTTGGCCTCGGTGACCAGGTCTTGGTGGCAGCATCCCCGGCTCTGGCCAGCTCGCCCAGGTAGGAATGGCATTGGGCAGGGTGGCAGTGGGCAAGGCAGGGTGAGGGTCCCCAGTCCCTGGCAGGCAAGCGGTGCTGTGGGGTGCAGGGTTTCACTGCGTGGTTCACTTCTGCTTCTGCTCACCACCAGTCCCCAGCGGTCCCAGCTCCATGCTGTGGCTCCCACAGCCAGGCAGGCAGGCTGGCTCCAGGTCCAGCTGCAGATGAGGTTTGTCACCACTTGTCCCCTTGGGTTGTGCTTGGCACTGGAAGAGGCACCAGCATGCCTGGGTCATGCTGGTGGGTAGAGCTGTGGTGAGCTCCTCACTGGTGTGCTGGGCACCGCTCCCTCCACATCCCCAAATCCTCCATCTCTTTGCCAGAGGGCTCAGCTCCCTCCGTGCCCACCCACTGGGAGCCACACTCTCCCCACCCGATGTCCTGTTTGGTGCAGCAGCGAGTGACTGGGACGGGAGCTCCTCTCCCAGCACCCTCCACCCCAGAGACTTATTACAGGGCAACCAGCCAATTAGCCCTGCATCAGTCATTAAATCCATGGAGGACACCATGGACCTGGACTGCTTGTCCCTTCCTGGAAAACAAGAGCATCCTTAATGAGTCCTGGAACAGGTCTGGCTGCAGGAGCCATTAGCCCTGGAGGTGCGTGGGGATGCCAAAGAGCTTCCACGTGTCTGTGGCTGCTGGCCATTGCCAGTGGGGCTTTTCAGCAATGAGGCCAGGGACATGGTGGGCTCCAGCCCCACAAGAGGAGGTAGCTGTGGGTGCTGCACCGTGGGGAGCACTGTGGGGAGCATGCAGGGAGCTGGGGGTATGATGCAGGCACCACATCCTGCCTGCAGTGTGCAGCCTCCCTGGGTGGCTCCAGGCAGTGGCTGCATCGCTTGGTTGTGGATGTGTCCTGGCGATTGCTGGGGGCTGGCAGGAGGAGGGTGGGGGTACAGGGGTCCCCTGGAAGTGGTGGCATGCCCAGGTCAGCATCAGGGGGGTCCTACCTACCTACATACCTACTTGCCTGCCTGCAGGCCCTTGGCCCCCCCCCGCTGGGTGTCACTGCTGTCACCAGGAGGCCCCCAAGTGTTTCACCACTTCCGAGGAACACCCTGACCCACAGAGCATGGAGGGGGGAGCCCCAGCCGTTCCCAACCCCGTCACTGTCCCAGGCGGTGGGTTTGCACCCACCCGTGGGCACAGGGTGCCGGGTGGCCCCTGGGACGCTATTGGCAAGGCAATGGGCATGTCCAGCTCCATCATCTGGTACTCGGGGCTGGATCCTACACGTGTTCCTGTCCCCGGGTTGTGTCGCACAGGGCTGTGTGCTCGGCAATGTTTGGCTCCTTTGGCCCCCTCGGCCTTCCTCAAGCTGCCACTCGATCCTTGCCAATGCTGGGAACTGGCTGGCACATATGTGGCAGGCTGCAGCGTGGGGGACGCAGGCGCCGTGGGGCACTGCGGCAGTGCCACCACCCCACACCTCACCTCACCATGCCGGGGCTGGGCATGGATGCTGCTTGGGGGGCACAGGGTGCTCCCGGTGACAGGGTGACAGTGGGGTTGGGTACTCGCAGCCGAGCGCTCCCGTGCCCCTTCGGTGCCACCCGTGGGTGTGCTGGGTGCTGTGGGGTGGGAGGAGGCATCCCCGTGGGGGGGTGGCACCGGCAGACTCAGCGCAGGGGATCGGCTGTGTGGGGAGGGGGCTGCGAGGGGAGGGAGGGAGCAGGGAGGGATGTTGCCATGCTGGTCATGCGTGGGAACCGCAGCCTCGCCGGAGCTGGGTTTGGTGCCAGCCGGAGGAGAGGGGGCCGGGCTGCGGCGCTCATGGGGCCGGGGATACTGGCGGCGTGCAGGGGACCCCCCCTGGCCATAGCGGGGTGCTGAGAGAGGGCACCGCCGCGCCGAGGTAGGACTGAACAATGGCTGGGTCGGGCAGCAGCAGCAGCAGGAGGAGGAGGAAGATGAAAGGGCTCGGGGGCCCCTCAAGCTGCTGCACAAAGGGCTGGAGTGGGTGTGGGGCTCTGGTAGCCCCCATCTGGGCACAGCAAACCATGCATGGCCCCGGGGTTGTGCCAGCGCCTGCACTGCTCCTGCCAAGCACCCCCGGGACCACAGGCAGGTGCTCCTCTCCACGGCAGGCACTGGTGGGTATGATGGGGGGTGGCAGGTCCTGCCCCACAGCCGGAGCCCCCCGGGTGAGCAGCCAATGGGACAGGCAGGGTGGCGCAGCCACCACGAGGATACCCCTGTGGCACATTCCCGTCCCCCTCTGCCCGTGGGCTGCCCGTTGCCATGCCGAGCCTTGCTGGATGCCAGGAATGTGCCGGGGCGGCTGCTGCCGGGACAACGGCCCTGGCAGAGGGGTCTGGGCTCACCCGGCTTTGCCCACCCGTGCAGGGAGCAGCCTGGAGCCTGAGGAGCGCAGCATGGAGCCGCCGGCTGAGCTGGAGGAGGAGGTGCCCATCACCACGGCGCCCAGCCCGGTGGGATGCCAGCTTTTCGGTTACGTGGGAATCGAAGCTGTGCTGGACCAGATGAAGATCAAAACCATGAAGACAGGCTTCGAGTTCAATATCATGGTTGTGGGTGAGTGCCAGGCACGGGCTTCATCCTGGCTGGGGCAGGAATCCCAGCTCTGATGTCACCATGCCAGGGGGAATCATGCGCTTAAGGGATATGAAGGGTTTTAAGGAGCAATAAATTGAAGAGCAGCATCCCATACCCCATAATGCAGTGATGCTGGTGGGTGAGATCAGCTCAGACTCTGGGATGCTCCCACATAGGTACCAAGGAGTTATTGCCTTGGGAATAAATCTTTTGGGGAAATAGACCAGAGCTATCCCAACCTCTGGGATTCTCCCAAATAGGTACCAAGGTGCTATCATCCTGGGGAATAAGTTCATTGGAGGGACAAACCAGAGCTATCCCAACCTCTGGGATGCCCCCAAATGGATCCAGAGTGGGATTAATTTGTCATGGGGGACAAACCAGATCTGCCGCATCCCTGCAGGGCAGAGTGGGCTGGGGAAGTCGACAATGGTGAACACCCTCTTCAAGTCCAAGGTGAGCCGCAAAGCCTCGCAGCCCAGCCAGGAGGAACGCATCCCCAAGACAGTGCAGCTGCAGTCCATCACCCATGGTACGGTCACCACCACAGGGTCGTGATCCGCCAGCCCTGGGGAGGAGCAGGGGGCGCTGTGTCTGAGGCTGCATCCACGGCCTCAGAGCATCCACCGCAGATCCTCTGCTGCTCCCCATGTCTGGTCCCCGCTGACCCACATCTCTGCCCCACAGTCATTGAGGAGAAGGGTGTGAAGATGAAGCTGACGGTGACAGACACGCCAGGGTTTGGGGACCAGATCAACAATGAGAACTGGTAGGACACTTTGGGGTGCAGTATCCCAGGTTGGTGAGTGGCAGGTTTGGGTGAGGGTTGAGCTCAGATACTGTCTCCCAACTCCTCATCCTCAGCTGGGACCCCATCATCAAATACATCAACGAGCAGTACGAGAGGTACCTGCGTGAGGAGATCCTCATCACCCGCAAGAGGAAGATCCCGGACACCCGGGTCCATGGATGTGTCTACTTCATCCCTCCCACGGGTCACTGGTGAGTCCCCACTCACATCATCCATGGGTGCTCCCTGCTTGGTGTTGTGTGTCACCCCAGTGATGATGGTAGGGTCACCCTGGGGTGGTGGTGGTGTGGTTGCCGTGGGGTGACGCTGGTGGGGTCACCCTGGGGTGATGGTGGCCTTTGTCAGGCTGCGCCCACTGGACCTCGAGTTCATGCGGCGGCTCAGTAAGATTGTGAACGTGGTGCCGGTGATCGCCAAAGCCGACACACTCACGCTGGAGGAGCGAGCGGAGTTCAAGCAGCAGGTGAGGACAGGACCCCAACGGGCTCCCAGGGTGCCCCATGTGCCCGTCAGCCCCGTCTCAAACCCTGTGTCCTGTAGATCCAGGAGGACCTGAAGACCCATGCAATCAGCGTGTACCCGCAGGAGGACTTTGACCAGGACCCAGATGACAGGGTGCTGAACGACAGGATTCGGGTGAGTGCTGGGATGCTGGGACTGGGGATGCCAACCCCTGGAGACCACACCAGGGCTGAGCACAGCACCCTGCTCTGCACTGGCAGGAGAATATCCCCTTTGCTGTGGTGGGAGCAGACCAGGAGCACCAGGTGAATGGCAAGCGGGTGCTGGGCCGCAAGACCAAGTGGGGCATCATTGAAGGTGAGTGGAGGCCCTCACATCCCCAGGCATAGGGGGGCTGTCTGCTGGGGGCGTGAGGAGCAGCACCTATGGGTGCATCCCTGCCTAGGGGTGCGGCATGGTGCTGTGCCAGTGCTCTGGTGGTACCCAGAGCCTGTGGGGTGTGCATCCTGCGATCCCTCCACCCCCTGCCCCTCTGCCTTGCTTTGCAGTGGAGAACCCGACACACTGCGAGTTCCCCCTCCTGCGGGACCTGCTGATCCGGTGAGCAGGGGATGGGGTTGGGGGTGCTGCACCCCATGGAGGGGACAGTGGGGCGATGGGGCTGTGGCCTGATGCTCTCCCTCCCCGCTGCTGCCCTGGCAGGTCCCACCTGCAGGACCTGAAGGACATCACCCACAACGTCCATTACGAGAGCTACCGTGTGCGGCGGCTGAACGAGAGCAACCGCCTGGCGCTGAGCCCCCTCAATGGGCTGGCTGGCAAGGGCGAGGCTGGCAGCGACCTCTGAGCCACCACCTATCCCCCCGGAGCCACCCCTGCGCCCTGCCCCGCGTAAGAAGCCCCCCCAGCAGTGCCAGCCTGCCCTGGGCCAGGTCCTCCCTTGTCCCCAAGCACAGACCCCATTGGACCCTGCATAATGGTAAAGCTCAGCCTGGAGCTCTCAGCCTTCACCATCACCATCCTCCTGCTGGACTCCCCACCTTTGATGTGCCACCGCTCTCCTGTGCTGCTCTGGCCACTGGGACCATGGGGCAAGAGACAGACACCCCTCAAATATGCTGCTGGGGTGTAGGGTGCCAGCACCAGCCAGGCACCCCCGGGGCAGTGTCAGTGCTGTGGTGGTGCCATGGGTGGCTGGGTAGCAGGTCCCCTCCCTGCGGTCACCCCACCTGCCCTGCCCGGTGACGGCAGCTGCCATGGCCGGACTTTGAGCCACTTATCGGTGGCAGAAGTTCCGGATGGGTGTGGAGGTGCCAGGAGTGGTGTGAAGGTGCCACCCGCAAAGGTGTGAGGGGCTACACCCAGCTGCTGCTTGCTGGGACACCCCCTGCTAGGGCACCACCACAGGGTGCAGCCTCCCAACGCCTCAGGCGGACCCCACAGCCCTGGCACAGTGTAGGGATGGGGGTGTCGGGGGTCCCCCCAGTGCTCTGGGGGTGCATATAAGGCTCCTTTGTGGCTCCCGCTGTGGGTGCAGTGTCAGGATGGTGGCACCCAGTGGCTCGCTGTCCCCCCCTGCCTTGGCCCCACCGCAGGGCTCGGCGTCACCGTGAGCACCAACACCCTTCGCCCGGCCCCACGTTAATGATCCACCCGCCTGTGCCGCAGCCAGCAGCCACACCGGTGAGGGCGCGTGGTGTGGAGCTGGAGCTGCTGGAGCTGGTGGAGGTGGCAGCAGAGCTGGGCTCTGCAGCACAGGCAGCTTGGGGGGCCAGCGGCTCGCTGCCCCACGCCGCACCCTCCGTCCTGCACCCCAATAAGAGCAGACGCCATCAGCACCCACTTCCCAGCACGCGGCGTGGCTGGGAGAACTGGCCGGGACCATGGCGGTGGCCACGGTGAACCTCCATGCTGTCACCTCCTGGGTGGGCATCGCCCGGCTCTTTGCCATCGTGTTGTCCTGCATCGCCTTCAGCTTGGTGGCCTCCACCTGGGACTTTGGGGGTCCCTATGGGACGTGGTGCATGTTCACTTGGTGCTTCTGCTTCGCTGTGACGCTGCTGGTGGTGCTGCTGGAGCTGCTGGAGCTCTACCCCAAGCTGCCGCTCTCCTGGGATGACTTCACCTCGGCTTTCTCCATGCTGGCGACATTGATGGTCTTCACCACCTCCGTGGTCTTTCCCTCCACCTTCATCATCAGCCCCTGCAGTGGCAGCAAGTGTGCCCGGCAGGCCATGGCCACCGCCATGTCCTGCCTCTGCTTCCTTGCCTATGCCATTGAGGTGGGGCTCACCCGTGCCAAGCCAGGGGACATCAGCAGCTTCCTCTCCACTGTGCCTGGGCTCCTCAAGGTCTTTGAAGCCTACATGGCTTGTCTCATCTTCTCCTTGCTGGATACCTTCAGTTCGGAAGCCGGCCTGCAGTGGTGCGTGGCTGTCTACTCCATCTGCTTCATCGTCACCCTCCTCATCATCATCTTCACCATAGGCCGGTGCCTCACCTACATCCCCTGCCCGCTGGAGAAGATGCTGGTGGTGTACAACGCCCTGGCCCTGATGATGTACATCACCGCCACCATCCTCTGGCCCCTCTACAGCTTCAGGGGGAGGAGCCGCCCCCAGAGCTGCGGCAGGAACTGCTGGTGGAACAAGCACCTGGGGGTCACCTTCCTCACCATCTTCAACCTCATCGCCTACCTGGTGGACCTGGTCTACTCCACCAAGATGGTCTTCATCAGGGCACCTCCATAAAGGCTGCAGGTGGCCATGCTGGGGCGAGGGTGGTGGGACGCGGCTGGGTGCCGGTGGAGCTAAGGAAGAGGCCGGACACCTCGGAAAGCTCCTTCTCCCCATGCCAGAGTGGAGAGCCATGGGTGTTCCAGGGGGTGTGCTCAGCTTGGGGACCCCCAGGCTGCCTGGAGCTGGGGAGACACACCAGGGTGCTCCCAGAACCCTGGAGCTGGGGGCTTTGGGATTAAACTGGGTCATTTTTCACTTGCTTCTGCTTCCTCTTTCTTCCCCCTTCCTGATTTTCCGCAGGATTCCCTCCAGCAGCATGGGGCGCTCAGGGGTACTGATGGCACTGGGGGGACACTGGGGGTTGTCAGCAGATCCTCTTTTTAGCTCCTTGTTGACTTGGAGCCGGAGCAAAGCAGGGCATGACCAGGAAAAACCTAACCCAGATGCCTTTCCCTTGGCACCCACACAGGACCCTGCGGAACGGGTTCCAGAGGAATGTGGCTGCTGGGGGGGCTGAGAGCCTGCCAAGTCCTTGTCACTAGCACCACCAGGTCCTGGTCACCACCACTGTCACCCAGCAGGAGCCCTGCTGGATTTGGTCCTGGCTGTGCTGGTGGGAGACCTGTGTCTCCTGCGTTACCCTCTGGGGACTTCCTGGGGGACATGGGGAAGGGATGGCTGTCGCCCGGTGCCATCAGAGCTGGCATTGGAAGCACGGTGGCACTGCAGGGGGAGAAACCAGGAAGAAGGCAGCAGCATGGGGCAGGCAGATAGCGATGGGTGCAGGCAGGTAAGGTGTGCCCGCAGGCATTGCTCCTGGCATGGCACTCCCGGATGTGGGATATGTACCCATGGGGCACCCCAGAGGGTTTTGGGGCCACTGTCCCCAGCTCTGCCACTGCTTGCTCTGGTTCCACTGCAGCTGGGTGCCCACCCTCACCACCTCAGGGCTGCTGAGTGCTACGGAACAGCATCACCAACACCATGAGATGGCACAGCCCAGCTGCCCCAGTGGTGGTGAAAGAGCCCAGGCCGAATCTTTGGCACCCCAGGGCACCCATAGCTGGCGTGGTGCCTGGGCAGTACAACCTCCGTGTCCCATGCCAGAGCCACTGTGGTAGCACCGGCTGCAGGGTGGCCTGGTGGGTGTCCCCATAGCGGCCATCACCGAGTGACTGCAGCACCCTGGCACGGCAGGGGCTGCTCCCCTGCAGCAGGCAGCCAGGCTGGACTGTGCCGCGGTGCCACGTTCACACCGAGCGGCGCGGCCGGGCTGTTGCTGTCACCGGGTGGGAGTTAAGTGTTTGGCTCTGGCTGGCAGTGCCGGCGTATGGGGCACGATGGTGCTGGGTGCCAGCGCTGGGCTGGCAGTGGGGTGTAGGGGACTGCAGTGCAGGGGGAGGTTTGAAGAGTCCCAGCTCCCTACACCCGGCTGGGGACCCCGGAGCATCTCCCTGCCAGGGCACACAGTGACTGCCGAGGGACCCCGGGAGCAGCCAAGCCCCGGTGGGTGCAGGAAGCCCCGGTGCCGGTCTGGGCTGTGCCACGGAGCCCCGGTGCTGTGCCGTGTCAGAGGGCCTCCCGCTGGTGGTGCCCTTGTAGTGTGATGCTGGTGCAGGTGTGGTGCTGGTGCCGGTGCAAGTGCAATGTCAGTGAGGTGCCAGAGCCTGTGCAGCACCAGTGCAGTGCCGGTGCAGTGCTGGTTCAATGCCAGCGCGGTGCCGGTGCCGTGCCGGTTCGATGCCGGCGGGGTGCCGGTGCATTCCTGCCCCTAGGGGTCGGTGTGCCGCGGTGCGGGGGGCGGTGCGCAGGGCGGTGCGGGGGGCGGCCCGCTCCTGCGCACGGCCCGGGACGGCCGGGGCACGGCGGCAGCGGTGGGGAGCAGGTACCCAGCGGCGGGCCCGGGTGAGTGCGGGCGGAGCGGGAGGGCGGCGGCAGCTTCAGTCTCGGGAGGGATGCGCGGAGAGGCCGAACCGGTTGCGGGCGGCGGGGAGGGGGTGGCGGGCCGGGGAAAGCGGTGTCGATGCTGCCGGTCCCGGCATCGCCCAGCGCGGCCGGAGCCCTCGGGCACAGCCCGGGCGGTATGTGCGTACCCCCGCCCCGGGCAGCCACAGCTCAACCCGCGCAGGTCTGAGCTGCTCCGGTGGCGGGACGGCACGCGCAGCCCGGCTCCAGCCCTCAGCCCTCCTCCCGGTCAGCAGGGTGCTCCCGAGTCCCACAGGGATGCCCCAGTGCCTCCCCGTGTCCTCCAGGGACGCCCCTGCGTTCCCCAGGGATGCTCCTGTGTCCCCAGCCGGACAAGCTGCCTTCAGACAAGACCCCGTGTGAGACCCCATGTGCCCCCTCCAAAGCCTGATGCCCCGCTCAGGGTGATGCCCCGGGGTGCTCATGTCCCCTCCCTGCCCCATGGAGCTGGAGGTCACAGCTAGGAACCCCCAGAGCTGCTCCATTATCTACCCTAAGCATCCCTGGGATGTATCCCTGGAGCGGGGGCCGGGGGGGGATGAGCAGGGCAGCCTGGAAATACTGGATGTGATGGGGGCTGGGGGGCAGCCGTGGGGGGCCTGGGGAGCGCCTTCCTCGGAAAGGGACCTCCCACACCAGAGACATGAGCACGGGTGCTTCCCGAGGGCCGTGGACCAGGTGGGTGCCCCCGGGGTGGGGCCCCATGGGCATCAGCATGTTGGATCCCATCCTAGCATCCCTGCTGGCCATTGGGTGGGTGTGGATGTGGCACCCTGAAGGCGCGGCACCCTGAAGGCATGGCACCGTATCTTTTGGGGGATACGGGTGCTCCAAGACAGGTGTATAGGGAGGGGAAGAGAGTGTGTGTTTGCCCAGCAGGGAAGAGGTTAACACCGGGGGGGTTTGGGGTGTCCCCAGCCGGGTACACCCAGACTCATCCTCGTACTGGTGACCTCACACCACTGCCATGGCAACGGCTCATGAAGTCGCCGGTATCCTCTAGCATGGGGTGATGGGATGGGAACATGGGGAAGCTGCCGCGTGCTCACCACCCACCCTCGGGCCCCCCAGAATGAGCTGTGCCCCCGCCAGCACCCCAACTCCGCCTGACCCTCTGACCCTGGCACCATGCTCGTCAAGGAGTACCGCATCTGCATGCCACTCACCACCGAGGAGGTGAGGAGGGATGGAGGGAAAGGGGGTGTTCATTGGGAAGGGGGGTGCAGTGGCAGGGAGTCTCCAAGCCCCTGGGTGCCAGGATCCACCAGTGGAGAGGGCTGTGGGTGGGGTTACCCGCAGCAGTGGGGTGACTGCTCAGAAAGGGGCTGGGGGACACGGTGGCCCCATTCCCATCTCCTCATGGCATGGCTTGTGGCAGGGACCTTGGCTGAGCCACAGGGTAAGCTTTGGCCATGGCTGCTGGGCTTGGGATGCTCTGTGTATGTGCTGAGCCATGTTTTGGGGTGCAGAGCGAGGACATCTCGTCCCTGGGCACAGTGACCTTGGGACATGGATCCCAACGGGAGCACCAGGGGTCTGCTTGGGGCAACCCAGTCCCAGGACCACGGGATGAACCTGTGGGCGAAGGGCACCAGGGTTCAGGTGCTCCGATGGGGAGCACCGTCTCAATCACTGCTCCAGCAGGGAGCTCGAATTCCCAGCAGCAAGTCAATAGCTGGCAGTCAGCAGCATTCCTGGACAAAGGATGCTCCTGAGCACTGATGGGGCTGTTTTGGGGATCTGCAGCCACGGTGCATACATTGGGCAGCACCAGCTCTCCCCAGGCTTGAGGTTGTGGTCACACTACAGGGAGGTTTTCAATGGGGCAGGGAGGGGCTGGTGATGGATGGAATCCTCAGTGGAACAATAAAGCACTTATTGCACAGCCACGTCTTCAAATACACACACATATATATCCATATCCATACCTAGGTGTAGTTTTCCCTGGGTGCCAGGTAGCTTGCTGAGGACAAAGCCTCCAGGCATTCTGCAAGGCACCTGAACAGTGCGGAGGAGCTGGGTGGGTACAATCCAGCTTCACCTAGGCACTGGAGCAGCCATTGGGCAGGGATGCTGGAGAAGGGTGCCCTAGGAGACCCCTGCCTGCTGCACAGCACTTGGTCTGTCACCCTTTGCTCCGTGCCTCAGTTTCCCTGCTCGGTGGTGTCTCTGGAGGGTGCCGGGCAGGGGTGGCACTGAGCCGGGTGCTGTGGTTGCAGTACCGTGTGGGGCAGCTCTACACCATCAGCAAGCACAGCCACCAGGAGAGTGAGAAGGGCGAGGGCGTCGAGGTGGTGAAGAACGAGCCCCACGAGGACCCCATCCACGGCCATGGCCAGTTCACTGAGAAGCGCGTCCACCTCTCCAGGTGAGGCCCTACCCCTCCCTCCTCCACAGTTCCCAGAAATATCCATTCTGGGTGCTTGGCACCCTGCAATGGGGCTGCACCCATCTCCCGGGGGTGCACCTGGAGTACACCCATCTTTGGGGCCTGCACCCAACTTTGGGGGCTTCACCTGTCTCTCAGGGTATGCCCATTTCCTTGGGTGAGCATATCCTGGGGAGCTGCACCCACCTCCTGGGGTGCACCCATCTCCCAGCCATGCACTCTGCCATCTTCGAGGGCTACACCCATCACTCAGAGTGAACCCATCACCCAGGGTGCACCCATCTTTCGGGCTACCCTCCAGGGTGCACCCATTCTCTGGGGTGCCCCCCTCTCTGGGGTCTGCACCCACCTCCTGGGGTGCGCCCATCTCCCAGGCACACACCCTCTCTCACGGTGAGCACCCATCTCCAGCGCCAGAGGGTGCCTCGGCTGCGGTGCAGGGCTCAGTGGGGATGCCCCAGCTGGTGCTCAGCTCACCCCGGGGTTGTCCCGGTGTCCCCGGTGCCCGCTGGCAGCCGGTGTCCCCCCCACCGCTGCGGCACACCGCGGCGCAGCACCGGCAGCGCTGCCGTGACTCAGGCTATTTTTAGCAGCGGTGCTCACGATTCCCCTCCTGGGGATGGTATTTATAACGCCTGCGGATGAATCAAACCACCGCCCAGCTCCCCGGGACCCGATCCTACCGGGGGGGGGCAGCAGCATCCCGGGGTCCTGGCCCTGGGCACAGAGAGGGGGTAAGGGTGCCTGAGGAGGAGATGGGGGTCCTGGGAAGAGGATAGGGGCATGGGGGTGCAGATGAGGGTGCTGGGGAGGTGCCAGGGTTCCTTGGGGTGATGGGTCGTAGGGGATGGTCCTGGAGGGATCCTGGGGTGGAGGTGAGGGCAGTCCCACATGCAGGGCTGTGTCTGGGGGAGCAGGGCTGGGTGGCACTGGGTGGTGCTGTGGCCACATCCTGCCCTGAATGGACCCCTATATGCTGTGGTTCCTGCAGCAAACTGCCGAGCTGGGCACGGGCAGTAACCCCCCGCATCTTCTACATCACAGAGAAGGCCTGGAACTACTACCCCTACACCATCACTGGTGAGCCAGGGCAGGGAGAGGGGATGGGCACCCCCAGGCACTCTGCCCCTCTCCATCAGTGGCCATTGGGTGCCGGGAGAGCCCGGCTATAGCCACTGCCCAGTCTCACCTCTCCCTCTCTTCCCCATGGTGCCACCCCCTGATGCTTCTGATGTGTCACGCTGTCCTTGCAGAGTACACAGTAAGGAGATGGCATGGGGGGACTTGGCCCTTTCCCCAGCACCTACCCTGACTGGGGAATGGGGCACTGGGGGAAGTATCCCCCAGGGCTGGGTGTTCCTGGGGTCAGCAGTTTCAGGGGTGGGGTGTCCCTCGAGGTGGGTTTCCCATGGGGTGAGTACCCTTGGGTTAGGTGTCGCTTGGGTGGGCATCCCTTGATCTAGGTGTCCCTTGGGTTGGGGCGTCCCTTGGGGTGGGTGTCCCTTGGGACTGGGCATCCCCTGGGGCTGAGTTTCCTTGGGGTGGGTGTTCCATGGGACTGGTGTCCCTGGAGCTAGGTGTCTCTTGGGACTGGGCATCCCTTGGGGTAGGCATGCTTGGGGCTGGGTGTCCATCAGGATGGGTGTTGTTTGAGGTGGGCATCCCTGGGAGTGTGTCCCCCTGGCTGGGGGTCCAGCTGACGGCCGGTCCCTGCAGTGTTCCTTCCTGCCCAAGTTCTCCATCTACATCGAGACCAAGTACGAGGACAACTGCGGGGACAGTGAGAACGTGAGTCTGCGCAGCAGCTGGGACCTGGCAAACTCCTCACCAGGGAGGACGCGTGGCACTGCACCGGCACCTCTCACCCTTCCTCCCCTCCCCAGATCTTCCACAGTGACAAAATCCTGGGCGACCACGAAGTCTCCTTCCTGGACATCGCCTTTGACGAGATCCCCGAGCGGTACTACCGCAGCCTGGAGGTATCGCGGAGCTCCCAAGGGCCACCCCCTTGTCCCCTGTGGCAGGCTGGGGGCTCACAGCCCTGCTGTGCTCTCCCAGGACCCCCGTTTCTTCAGCTCGGCCAAGACGGGCCGGGGGCCACTGCGGGAGGGCTGGCGCCAGCACACCAAGCCCATCATGTGCTCCTACAAGCTGGTGAGCGTCAAATTCGAGGTGTGGGGGCTTCAGACGCGGGTGGAGCAGTTTGTGCACAAGGTGAGGGGGAACTCCAGGCCAGGGGGAGACACTGGGAGGACAGTGATGAGGTGTTGACCTCCATGGTGCGTCACAGGTGATCCGGGACATCCTGCTGATCGGTCACCGGCAGGCGTTCGCATGGGTGGACGAGTGGTGTGGTGAGTCCCCCCGGTGCTGCCGGTGGCAGGGGACACGGGCCGGGGGTGGCTCCAGACCCCCAGGGTGGGAGAGGGCTGCGAGTTTAACCGTAATGCCACTAACCCCATAGGCAGCTCCCACTCATCCTCCAGCTCCCTGTATTCTGCTGCCTGCGCTGCTCTGCTCCCTGCCCTCACCCCTGCCTGTACCCCAACACACTGGCCATTCTTGCTGCACGCCTGGGGAGGCTTGGCTGACGTGAGGGATGGGGAGCACAGCCCGAGCACCCCTGGCTGCGCTGCTGGCACTGCCTGCACCCTGGTCTGGCAGCAACACATGCTGTCACACATGGACACGGGGATGGGAGCCCCTGGTTTTGGCAGCGGTGCCATCCCGGCGAGCAGCTCTCTGCCTTCCAGACATGTCCCTGGAAGAGGTCCGGGACTTCGAGACTCAGATGCAAGTGGCCACAAACCAAAAGCTGGGGAGCCAGCATCCCTAACCCCCTCCCCCCCCATGCTGTCTGCAGGGCACAGGGACCCTGAACCCCACCACACTGCCTGCGGGTGGGTGCAGGCAGGGGGGCTTGTGCATGGTGCACGCTGAGCCCCCCCTGCACCCTGAGGCAAGGGTCCCCCTCTGCTCTGCCTGCGCATCCCCTTGCCTTCGCTGCCTGCCCGTCATTTCCCCACTGATGCCTGGGCTGGTGCCGGAGGTGGGGGCAGCGTCCCCTGCTCTGCGAGTCCCCCTGTCCCCAGCACCCAGCTCGGTGAGGAGCCGGCGCACGGAGCGCAGGTTTGTCCGTGCCGAGCGGCTCCAAGCGCGGCTGTGCTCGCAGGAATGACGATGGAGGAGGTGAGGCGCTACGAGCGGGAGACGCAGGAGGCCACCAACGAGCTCGTCGGGCTGGTGGCCCCCACCATCGCTGTCAGCGAGGTGGGGCAGCCCACGGCCACGCACTCGGCGCCCGCCAGCGCCCCCTCCACCCCGCTCAGCGACGACTCCCCCGACTTCCTCGCCCCCCCCAAAACTCGGCCGCGCAAGAAGTCGGCGCCGGAGACACTGACGCTGCCCGCGCTGCGGGAACGCACCGGCGCCGAGTGATGCCGGCGGTGCCGAGCCGGGCGGGACTGTGCCGGCCACGCTGCCCACCGCAGCCACGGGGAGGAACCCGCCGCTGGGGCGCAGGGAGCCCTAGGGAGGGTGCGACCACCCGGAGCCATCGCGGGTGCCCGTGCAGGTCATTGCCACCATCTAGCGCCGCTGCCTGCACCGGGAGCAGTCCCCAGCACCATCAGGCAGGAGCCGGTTCGCTCAGCGCCACCCGCCCCGGTTACCGCCGAGGCTGCTGAGTGGCACCGCGGTGGCAGCCGGTGCCCATGTACCCAGTGAGTGATGCTGGAGCTCCATGCTGTAAGGTAGGCACCGGCGCAGGGGCACAAGAGTGTGTGACAGTGACAGGAACCACCAGGTGTTGGTGGGGACTCCCCGCAGGACCCCTAGGCACAGCAGGTCCTGCAGCAGGGTCCCCTTTGCCGTCCCTTCAGAGGCCATGGCTGCCCAAGGAGGGCTCAGCCCTCTGTTTTCTTTGGGAAAACACAGGCCTTTTTGGAAATAAAGCTCGAGACAAGCCAGCCGTCTGCTGGTGGAGGTTTATTCGATGCCATGGAGGGGTGCTATGCCTGTGGCAAGGTGCTGTGTGTCCCAGGACTGGATGTGTGCAGTGAGGAATGACTGGATCACCAGTTCCGGAATGGGGAGATAGGGTGCTGTGATGGGGCAGCGAGGGGCTGGGAATCCAGTGGGCAGGATGGTGCTGGCTGCACTGGGTCAGGCCAGCCCTGGGGTGATGCCCCCAGCCCCACCAGCAGCACTGGGCTCCTCTCCCCACCCACCATCACCATCCTCCAGGTCTTCAGCACCCGGCACAGCTGATGCCACCGGCCCCAGCAGGGCGATATAGTAGGAACTGCAGTAGACGGGTGCCTTGTTGGGGCTGGAGTAGACCTGCTCAGGCCGCAGTGAGGCAAAGGGGTTGGTGGCATAGCCCATGATGCGCATCTCGAGCTCCACCAGGAGCTGCAGGGAGGACTTCAGCTCCTGCTCACTGCCAGGGAGTAAAGGCCAGGCCCTGCTATGGTGTGCTGGTGGTGGTGCCAGCACACCAGGGTAGTGGGGCTGTGCTCACCTGTACACGGTGAAGAGGACCGGCAAGCGGTAGTCCCGCAGCAGCAGCAGGGTGGGCAGCCAGCCTGCCAGCAGGTCTGGGCAGGCATGGAAACCTGTGGGGACACAGTGGTGAGGGTCCCACCTCTTCCTGTGCCACTCTGACACTGGATCTAACAGCACCCGTTCATGCTGGGGTGCATGGTGACACTGGCAATAGTTTGTCACCCTTAGCAAGGTGAGTACCATCTCAGCAGCATGGCTCTGGGTGCCTGGGCTGAGCCACCACACTGAGAGCCACAGGCAGGGACCCTTTTGGGAGCTGCCTATGTGGCAGGTGGGTGATACAGGCAGGACACTGAGCACCCGTAGAGGGGGAAAGACAGCCAAGCCCAGGGCATCACCCTGGCTGCATGGTTGCCTGTTGTAGCTTGCAAAGCCCTGGATATGTCCCAAGCCACCAGCAGGCACTGCTGGGGTGCTGAGGGACCTGCACCCTTCTGGGGATATCCTGCTGCTAGCAGTGTGGTGGTGAGGGTCCAGTCCCCTCCACAGAATCATAGAATCACAGATGGTTTGCGTAGGATCATCTTAAGATCACCTAGTTCCAGCCCCCTCCCATGGGGAGGGTCACCTCACCCTAGACCATGTCGCTCAAGGCTCTGTCCAATCTGGCCCCAAATGCTGCCAGGGATGGAGCATTTACCACTTCTTTTGGCAACCTGTTCCAGTGCCTCACCACCAGCACAGTAAAGAACTTCTTCCTTATATCTAACCTGAACTTTCCCTGGTTAAGTTTTAACCCATTACCCCTTGTTCTATCACTACAGTCCTTGATGAAGAGTCCCTCCCCAGCACCCTTTTAGGCCCCCTTCAGATACTGGAAGGCTGCTATGAGATCTCCACGCAGCCTTCTCTTCTCCAGGCTGAACAGCCCCAACTTTCTCAGCCTGTTTTCCTACAGGACGTACAGGAACTCACCTGGGTGAAAGCCCACCACCAGGTCAGGGCGAGCGGCCAGCTTGGTCTCCACGTGGCTTTCCCAAAAGTCATGGTAGAGCCCCTTGTAGCTGCTGAGATAGACCCTTCCCCGGGGGGCTGGGGTGGCCAGGGGTGGCCTCATGATGGGTCCATCGACCACATCCACCCCCACCATCACCACCTCCATGCCGCGGTGCCCCGGGAACATGCGCGTCAGCTCGTCGTAGTCTGTCAGCCGGGCGTTGAGGGTCTCCACGTGGGATGCTCCCACCACGTGCACAGTGAGGGCCTTGGCAAGGGGCTCAATGCTGAAGAGCCGCAGCCCCAGGCCGATGGTGAGCGGCCGCGAGTGGAAGTCGGTGACCAGGCGTCGGACGGAGTCACGCAGCTCCCTGTCCTCTGGCCGCGGCTTCCCAGCGTTGGCCCACAGCAGGGTCATGTATCGCCCGGCCAGGATGGCGCCCAGCTTCTCCTCCAGCTGCTCCTGCATGGAGAACCAGTCCTCCCAGCCCTCCACATCCCAGGGGGACTTTGTCCAGGTCTCTGTGGGAAAAGGGATGTCTCCTAGAGGAGACAGAGAGAAGCACTGGGGGTCACAATGGTGGCCCCACAGCCCAGGCTGCCTGTCCCACCAGACCCACAAGCCAGGAGGAGGGACTCCCCCATCCCTCCATGGGATTTCTGCAGCATGGTGTGGGGGTCAGGCAGGCCTGGAGGGGTACACACAGTGTCCCCTGCCCCACCTGTGAAGACAAGCCACTCCACCAGCCGATCCAGGGCCACCAGTTTCAGCTTCTTGCAGAACTTCTTGTGCAGCGGCCAGTTGGCACGCTGGCACACCACGCCGCAGTAGTACACGTTCTGGCACCTGGGGACACAGGGAGAGGATTCTGCCTGACAAACCAAGGCTCCCTGACAGCCCTCCCAGATCTGTGTTGCTGTGGTTTGAGGGATGCCCTGTAGCTAGAGGTGGGTTTTGGGACAATACCCCCCTGGCTTCATCTTGTTTGGAAGCAAGGGGATGGATTCATCCCCATGCCATCAAACCACATCCCCTTGACATACCTCTTGCATCGCCGGAGGCTTTTGGGGTCCGGGAGAGCATCGGGGAGCTTCCTGCACTCAGCACAGAACTTGAAGGTGTCCTCCATCTTCTGGAACATCTCAAAGTAAGTCCGGATGCCAAAATCGCTGCCGCTTTTCCTCCCATCCATGGCAGACCTGCACATGTATGGGGAATGAGAAGGATCCAGCAGAAGCTGCTCTGCCACCACAGTGAGGCCAATGTCCTCTCTCTAAGGCCACCAGGACTTCTACCTCCAGCCAGGAGCATCCTGTCCCGGGACAGAGAACCGGGAATGGGCAAATGGAGGGGTGTACCCAGGAGCCCCATCAGAGCACCCACACACAGGCTGAGCCAGGAGGGTGGGATGAGCCAGAGATGTTCCAGCTGCGAGGACGCACACGGGATGCTCTGTCCGTGGGGGGAAAACACACACCCATGGGTGCTCACTCACTTGTAGTCCTCATAGCTCTTCATGTTGAGCTTCTGGAGGATGACATGGGACAGCCCCGGCACATTGCGGTCCATGGCTTGAAAGCCCAGCGAGTCCACGTCTGGCGCCCTCGCCTCCGGCTCCTTCGTGGGCTTCTTGGTGCGGCCGGGTCTGGGGGCAGCGCCTGCGTTCCTCTGAGTCACGGTGGTGGCTGTGGCAGACGGGGGTGGGGGTGCAGGGGCCGGTGCGGGGGTCCCCGGGTGCTGCCGGGGGGGCCCCCGTTTCCCGCTGCCCCCACGCCGCCGGCCGCCCGCCATCCCGCTGCGCTCAAATGTCAGCCCCGAGGAGATAGCGAGGAGAGGAGCGCCTCGGCCCCTCCGGGATCGGGTAGCGCAGCTATTCTGGGCATCCCCTCCCCGGGAACCGGCCAACCCGAGCCGGGGGTCTGGCACCCGCCCCAGCGCTACCGGGTCTGCCTCGGAGCTGCTCCCGCGCTGCACCCGGGGGGGCTGCACAACCTCTGCGATCTGTCCCCAGTGTTCCCATGGGACCTGCCAACCCCCCCGCCATGAGGCCCTTTCCCTTGGGCACCTTGGTGCAGTGTGAGCTGGGTGGGCACCACGGTGTGTGCCAAGCAGGGCTGGGGGGCAGCAGGCGTCAGGTGGGGACATGGTGCAAGTCCTACACCTGGATTGGTGCTATCCGACACACAGCTACAGGTTGGGCAGAGAAGCGATTAGGCCCTACCCTATTATTAGGGGCCCTTGTTCTACTATCCCGAAAGCAATCTTTCCATGCACCTTGAGTTTTTCCATTTCCCGGATAGTTTCTTTTCCCTAAGGCTGCACTGGTTGCATGAGTAATTGTTCAGCTTAATTTTTGCCTTCCCAACTGTGTCTCGGTTGCGGCACACCCTCCATGCTTCCTCAATCAGCTTTTTGATATCTCTCTGGTCCTCTGCACTAAGTTTATGTAGTTTCTTTCTAATACCATTTGAGGATTGTCCTAGAGAGATATCAGCTGCTGCTCTCCCTGGTCTCTGGAGGGGTCCATGGTAGTATATTTTTGCATTGCTCCCGTAATCTGTCAAAAAATTCTGTAGGAGTTTCACCTGTGTTTTGTTTGACAGCACATAAAGCTCCCCAATTCATGGACTTAGGAATTGCATGCTCCAATCCAAATGTTTCATACCTTTTGAGAAGTTGATAATGGTTGGGGTTATTATAATCCTATTGTGGTTTAGCTGTAGGGACATAATCGTCCGCATTTCTCTGCAGTGTTTCTGCAGCAATTAATGCCTGAACATGGGTTCTGGCAGCTTTAAGTACTAGTTCCTTTTCAGTGCCTGTGATTGCATCTAACATGAAATCAGTATCATCCAAATCCAGGTCTACGGCTTTAGTGAAGGTTTTGAATATTTTTGCTGCTCCTGCGGGATCATCTCTATAGGTCCTTGCTATCGATTTTCAACTTTGTAAGTCTCCCATACAGAAATTAACCTTTAGTCTCATGGGTCCCTCAGGTCCCGCAGCTTCCCTAAGGGGGGCTTGTATCACGCCTTGGGTGCCATGTTTATCCCACTCTTTCTGCCACTCTGGATGTTCCCAGAGGGGGAAAAACATATGCATGAAAGACTTCATCCCGCTTTCCTTCCCTTGGTAAGAAGGGCATCAACTCTAACATTCTATCATAGCTTAAGGATGTTTTCTGGCTATTTTTCTCCACCTCCCAATTTATACAATGGCCACCACTTGTTACAGTATTTCATCAAGGTCTTTTTGCTTGGGATTCCTCCTGGGAGAGCCCCAGTTTCCCCCCAGTGTCTTAGGACGCATTCCAGTGGACTTTGAAGACTTGTATTTTAACTTTCCCAGTTTCCCATTTTTACTCTCCCTGCTGACTCCCCACCTTGCTGATATTTTGTTTTCTCCCCCGCACCATACTTTAATTACTCCCACAACCTATACTGTTCAGACCAAATTCTGCACCCCGTGCAGTAAAAATCCCATTCGAATTTTACCCAAACCTTTTTGTTACACTGGTACAATTTAGAACACAATCTGTCTCTCATTCACTACCAGGACGAAACAAACACACCTCAGTCTCAGGGTAATACATATTTTCCTTTTTGCTTTGCCTGTTTCCAGCTGTTTCAACTGCAGGAGAACAAAACAACGGATCAGAACTTCGCACTCACTTCGTACTTGGCTGTACATCTCACACATAAGTTCATATGGTCCCTGCCCGTAGGGGGTTGGGGCTGGAGGAGCTTTAAGCCCCCTTTAACCTCTCTGTTACCCCGCAGCACTGCCGCACGCTGCCCACCTCCACCACTGCGGCCGCAGCAGCTTCACGGCCGAACCCCATAAACACGTGGTGCAGCGCTGAGATCTCGCGAGACTTCACGGGAGCAGTCGCGTCGCCGTGGTTACCGGTGGACGCGCGGCCCTCCCGTTGAGGCAGGTAAGCCTTGGTTCGCGCCCCGGGCCGGTGCGGGAGGGTCTGCAAACCCAGCCGGGAGCGCCCTGACCCTGTTGGTGGCGGCAGGACGGTGCGCTGAGGCGGTTGCCAGCGCCGGGGTGAGGCTGGTACCTCTCATCTGTCTGGGGTGGCTGGAACTGGGGGGAGCGAGGCTGTGGAGTGCTGTGGGGTGCTGCAGACAGGCCCCTGGTGCGGGATGGAGCCAGTACCTGGGGCTGCGGGAGCCCTGTGGGGCCTGTCAGGAGCTGAGGCCTTTGGCCCCACAGCCTCCACTGTCAGTCAAACGAGAATCACAGAATCCCAGACTGGTTTGGGTTGAAAGGACCTTAAAGCTCATCCAGTCCCAACCCCCTGCCACAGGCAGGGACACCTTCCACTAGACCAGGTTGCTCCAAGCCCCGTCCAACCTGGCCTTGAACACTGCCAGGGATGGGGCAGCCACAGCTTCTCTGGGCACCCTGTGCCAGCGCCTCAGCACCCTCACAGGGAAGAGCTTCTGCCTAAGAGCTCATCTCAGTCTCCCCTCTGTCAGGTTAAAGCTGTACCAGGGTGAGCCTGGCTGAAAGTAGCAGTCACACCGAGCCCTCCCCTTGTGCAGAAGGCGCTGGGAGCTGCAGCTGGGTTCCTTTTACTGAGCAGCATAATTTTGGCATTACATGTCCTCCCTATGCTCCTCATGAGAGCTTCCTCACTGACAAAGCCCTGTACTTTCAGTGGTGTTTTGACAGCCAAGCCTAGAATAATGCCAACAGCCATGGCTGCTGGGCCCTGCAGATGCTTCTGGGAGAGGAATTGAGCAGTTTCATATTTCTTTTCCCCATTCTTTTTCCTGCAGAGCCATGGAGGTCTCTGGGGGGCTGTCTTCCAGAAAAGAGTCCACTGTATCTGTTCCCAGTGAGTCACAACCAACACCAGTACAGATCACAGTGCTGAAAGCACAGGACCTGGTAAAGCTCTTCTGAAAATGGTTTAATAAACAAAGCTAGAGTGATGTTGTGGGCTGTGATCCTGTTTGAGAGGAGCTGTGAGGTGGTTAGGGTTATTGGAAGGATTGGTGGGAATATCATGGATTCAGCTATACAACACTGTGGCTTCCTCTTCCCCACTGAGGGCTTGTTTGCACAGAGTAAAGGCTTGTGATTCATGTAGGCTGGGGAATGCACCTCCTCAGCAATGCTCCAGAGATGGGTTGAAATATCTCTCTCCACCTTCTCCGCCTATCTCTGTGTAAATGGCAGCTTTTTAAAGCAAAACAGAGTGAAAAATATGTATCAGTGAGACAAATACCTCTCCAAAGGTCTCACTTTGGATGTAAATTTGGCTTTTCATCCCAGCTACAGCAGTTTATATCATGTTGAAACCAAGAGAGTGGCTCCAGTTAGAGGGAAGACTGTGAGGTGGTTCTGATCAAACCATGACTCCTGCAATTTCCATGTGCAGCATGATGCACCCTGCTGGCCTTAAAGTCCTCTAGAGGCCCTAGCATTTAGGAGGGAATGCAGAGGAGAAGCTCAGCTAGAAAACGCAAATCCCTGCTTCGGCTCTAGTAGCAGGCAAAACCAGCAAACCAAAAGCAGCTCCCTGGGTTGCGGTTTTGAGGTTTTTATACTGTAGTTTTTGACCACCTCTCACACTGACAGGTTCATCAAACAGCATCTTAGGTGAGAAGTGTAAGGTATGAGGAGGAAAAACAACGCTAAAAAGGATAGACCCATGGATTAATTGAACGTGAAATGTTGCTTTGTGGTTTCTTATTGCTCCATTCTGAGAAACAGCTCTGGGAACAGGAGGGAAGGTTACGAAAGTGTGATAGTAAGAACAACAATATGAGAAAAAAAAAAAAAACCAGCTGTAAGAAGTGTGTAATCTGCTTAATTAGAGGTAATGGAGAGAAGTGTGAGAGAGGAGCCCAGGATAATTAATGGGACAAGGAAAGGTTAATTGGATTCTTCTGTTTAGCCATTCATAGAATGTACGCTCAAGGAGAGTGAGAAGGACTGAGAATTAAAACCAAGTGAATGAAATCTCCTTTTGTGCAAGAGCCAATACGGAACTCATTACCTCACCAACAAGGAGGGAGGGTGCTGAGGGTGGAGATCAGGTATCCCTGTGGCTCAAGACTAAAGAAAAGCTGGGTTTGGGTACGACAGCCTGATGTTCAGAGCGGTGGCTGCTGCTCCCTGTGTGGAAAAATAAACCATGTTCCTCCTTGAAACTGAAACCTCCTCATCTCTGCTTGAAGCAAGTGGTATGAAGGTGGTGTAGCAGCATATGGCAGAGCTCCCCAGAGAGCTTGCTGGAGCCCTTCTGTCATTTCAGGCCACTGGCAGCCATGTGATAGACACAAGTGACCTCTCAGCTCAGCCATGTAGCTGAGGAAACTACAAAAGTCTTGAGCTTCCTGGAAGCACAAAAATATCAGAATCAGCCAGAATCAGAGACTGGTTTGGGTTGGAAGGTGCCTTAAATCTCATCCAGTCCCAACCCCCTCATCCACCAGACCAGGTTGCTCCAAGCCCCGTCCAACCTGGCCTTGAACACTGCCAGGGATGGGGCAGCCACAGCTTCTCTGGGCACCCTGTGCCAGCGCCTCAGCACCCTCACAGGGAAGAATTTGTTCCTCATATCTAACCTAAATCTCCTCTGTTTAAGTTTGAGGCCATTACCCCTTCAGTGGGGTATTTTAGGATTTGCTTCAGCTGTGTCTTTCACTGCCTCTCATGCAGTGAAGCCCAGACCTCTCCCTCTCTGCTGCCGCAGATTTTGATAACCCCTGGGGTGTCACAGCATGGGAAAGCAGGAAAGTTCCCTCCTAAAAGCCAGGGAAGCCTAAGGTCTCAGCATGGCCAAGCTCTGCTCCTGTTCCCCATTTCTGTAGGGAATAGCAAAAGACCCCACTGGAGAACCCTGTCCTGGGCACTGAATTGAGCTGCCTGCCAGAGGCAACTTTGATCCTAGACCTGTTGCCTCAGAGCCAGCTGCTTAATGTGCCTTTTCTTGACAGAACACTCTCAAAAGCAACGTGTCAGTCACTTCAGTGTGCGTGGAGTTCAATGGAGTGGTCCTGGGAGAGTCCTTCAGGACTAATGTCCTGCCAAAGGGGACAGCAGACTACAATTTCACAACCAGCTTTGAGAGCAGCCCCAATGGGCCCAACTCCCTGAATGACATTGCACAAACCCCTGTGCTCTGTAAGTACCTGAATGTCCCTGGTTGGAGGTGGGAGTCACCAGCTGCCCTGCCCTGCCCTGCCCTGCTCTGCCCTGCTCTGCCTGCCTGCTGCGACTCTGACTGCAGGAGTCACACATTAAGAATAGCACTGCAGTGGTGGCAGGGTCTCAGAGCTTCTGTCCCCATCTCTGCCAGCTGGAAGGGTCTCCTTTCATGTTGGCCTGTGCTCCTTGGCTTCACTGTTCTTGTAAGCCCTGGGAGATGGAGTAGTAGCACATGCCAGAGCTGCCCTTTGCAGCCCCTGAACTGCTGGTCTGAAGCTGTCTGAGAAACTGCCACCTCCTCTCTTTTTCATCCCTCTAGTGACAGTGATAGAAACATTGCAAAAGGACAAGAAACAGAAGGACAGGACCACACCTCTTGGCCAAGCAGTGGTGGATCTTCTACCTCTGCTGCAAGGTACAACACTGACTTCCACAGCCTCTGTAACTATTTCTTACTCCCTGGCACTTTTGGATCTTTTCTTATGGATCCCTGACAAAGGAATTGAATCATAGAATGGTTAGGGTTGGAAAGGACCTTAAGAGCAGTTCCAACCCCCTGCCATGGGCAGGGACGTCTCACACTAGACCATGTCACCCAAGGCTCTGTCCAGCCTGGCCCTGAACACTGCCAAGGATGGGGCATTTACCACTTCTTTGGGCAGCCTGTTCCAGTGCCTCACCACCCTAAGCACTTCCCTCCTTTTGACAAAATGCTCTTTGTAGCACTGGGGAAGATGGGGTGACATCAGTAGGCCATGATTTCCCTAGGGAGGGTCTCACTCCATGCTCTCTCATTCCTGTTTCTTTCCAGGACAGTGTTCATTTCAGGTCACAGCTCCTTTACATGCAGTGCCTACCTCTCCATCAGAGAGCCTCCACCCAGAGGCCAAGGTATGTGGAATCTGGAACTGTTTCTTTGCCCCTTCAGCTCTCTGCTGCTTTTTAATGGGAAGATGAGCATGACTCAGCCACCTGGCTTATCACAGATGTTAACAAACTCTGTATATTACCAGCTTGGAGGCCTTTCCTTCTCCTCTTGATGTCTGTCCCTTGTTGCCTATGACAGGTGAAATCGTGCTAAGAAATGTTAATGTGTGCAGCCACCAAATCACTCTGTAAACAAACATTCAAGATGGAAAGCCCAGTGCTGAAAACCCAGAAAGAGAACAGCAGCATTAGCTGCCTGGCTTGATTAGTCTTCCTCTCTGTGGGTAAAATATCTCAGAGTCTGTTATTGTACCAGCTCTGACTGCCTTCCCCGCAAGGTCCTTTTTCATTCAGGTGGTTGAAAAGTACCTGGTGAATAAAGCATGAGACTGAGAAAATGTGTTTCATTTTGCTTCGAGCCTGCCTCCAGTTAGCACCACCAGTAAATTGAAGGGGAGGAGATTGCACTAACTTCTCTGTATCTAAGAGGTGTTACACAGTGTATGAGAGGGGCTCTCACTAGGGAGGAGAGATAATAAATGCTGAGCAGCTGGGTTTCGCTGCACACCATCTATTGGATTGGGACAGGTAATTAAGACTGAGATGGGGCAGCGCCAAACTGTGGCCCTGGCTCAGCATGCTCTGAATCACTGGGTGAAAAGTGATGTTCTTTTGCTGTGGCTCACTTTATGAGACCCTGACTCTTTCTCTGTGGCTCATTTTATGAGACCTGTGGAGCATGTGCCCTGCCTCGAGCAGGCTTCAATTTAAACAGACAAATCACCACAATTCAGACAAAGCCATCGTGAAATTCCCTTCCTAAGCTGGTCTGTTCTCTTTCATATTCAAGGTGAGGAAGAAGGCATTATACATTCTGGCCTTGGGTTTCTGCTGGCTTCTCCCTCAAGAGCAGGAGTGTTATAACTGTGAAGTTACTGGTTCTACTTTATCCTTGTTTTCTAGGGTGGCCTTGAAGTGACAGTGCGCACCAAAGAGCCTTTGCTTTCTGCCACACAGCTTTCAAACAGTAACTTCCTGAGCATCACACTGGAGGCAGCTTATTCTATCCCTGAAACGTTTGCTGCCACAGGACCCCTGCAAAACTACATGGCTTGCTTGCAAGTACCAGCAGCTGGGGAGGTGAGGAACAGTCCTGGCACATTGAAAGGTGTTTGGCTGCTTCAAAGTGGAGTGTTCTCCCACACTATGTAGCATGGAATAAGGCTGTGGGGTGCTTAGCTCATGTGCTTGTCCAACAGCAGCGTTTGCTGTGGGTGCTTGGGATCTCTGTGGTGTGATGTGTCTCTTAAACACAAAACAAGGTCTGCTCAGCAAGATTTGGATTGAAATGGCAGGTTCTTTTCCATGTGGCTGTTCGTTTGGTTTTTCTCCATTCTTTGTGTGTGGTGGAGTGGATTTTCCAAGCCAGGCCCCTGCGCTGCTGCTTAGCTTTGTTAGACCCAGCTTAGTGCAGCTGGCACTTGCTCCTGCTCATGTTGGACATGCAAGTCCATTCATTCTCATGTTTCTCTAGAAAGAACTCCCCTTGCTCTTCAAGAATGGCATCCTGAAGCTTGCTGGTGAGAAAGAGCCATTACCCCGGCCCAAAAAGTGGCCCCTTGCTAACATCATGGCCCCTGGCGCTCTGAGCATACCAAACTCCTTCATTGTTGGTGGTCCCTATGAGGATGAGGATGGAGAGCTCACAAAAGGAGAGGTGAGGAAGGACTGGCAGTGTCATGGCTGGGAGAGAACCAGCAGGTCTCACTGAAAGGACTGAGGAAGACTTGCATAGACTTGTTACAGGAGAAAGCAGGTGGTCGGTGCTCTGCGCAGTGTGCAGACACACAGATGGGTCCCCTAGGACAGCAGAGGAGAGTTCTGAGGGACCATGGGGCAGGTTTGGTGCCCAGAAAGCTACCCAGCCCTCAGCTGCTGGGCTGAGAGTTGTGTCGTTTCCTTGTGAGCCAGGCTCCTAATATGAATGGGATCTGGTGTCTGCAGGAAGGGCTGCTTGCTTACTCTGCTATGGTGATGGTGATTTGGACTCCTCTGTCTGACTTCCGTTCTCTCCCAGGGAACATTTTGGGAATGATGTAGATTGCTGTCCTGGCTCTGACCATGTGCTGTTTCTCACAGGACAGGGAATTTAGGATCCAAGCAGAAAGCATGAAGAGAGTTGTGTGGGACATGGAAAGTCGTTGTTACCTGGATCCTGCTGCAGTAGTCACGTAAGGGACCTGAGAGCTTCCCTTCCAGCATGGGGCAGTGGGGATAAACCACCCCAGAATGCACTCAGTTGGGTAACCTAAGGCAGGGAACAGCAACATGCAGGTGGTCTCACACCTCTTACATGATCAAAGCGTGGCTCTGCCTTAGTTCCCATGGCTCCTGTGGCTCACTGTTGGACAGAGGTGTTAACACAAGCAAGGGAATTAGGTATACGCCTTTAAGTGCTGGAGCAGCTTAGTTCTACAGTGGGAGAAGATGAACTGCCTGTAGCTGCTGTCTCCAGCTCATGCTGCCAGTAACTGGAGGTGGTGACTGCTCCCTCTGCTTGAAGGAAAGGACAGCACAGTTATGGAGGAGAGTGGCCCACACAGCTCTCCTCTGAGCTGCTAATTAAGTTTTGCTGAATTCCCAGTACATTAAAATCCTTTCACTCCATGTAGGCACTCTTCATGTGCTTTTTTATTGGATAAATGTTACCTTTAAAGCTCTAGACACGCTCAACATCAAGATGAGCATCCCATTCCTCTTTGAATCCCGCTTCATTCTTGGCCTCAGCTGCATCATCGCTGTGAGTTTCACAGCCAAATTAGTCCTCATGTGGAAATATTTCCTTCTATCTGGTTTGCTATTTAATTCTTTTCCCCCTACACTTTCATCAGCCTGCCTGCTGATTTCAGAGTTACCAAGCACATTGAATGGGAGCTCAGGGTCCGCTTGCTCTGAGCAATTCAGGATTTATACCAAAGTTCATAATGTTCCTTTGTATTCATTTCATTTCTGAAGTAGCCAGGGGAGAGAAGAAACCCAGCCTGTTAATCTTATGATTGTTTTATAGCTGCTTGTGCCATAAATGCACACAGTGGTGGATGGAGAAGAAAATGTCCCCAGCTTGCCCCAAAGCACGTACGTTCCAGTGGCCAGAGTTTCCTGTGTCCCATGGGAGCGGGTGGGAACAAACCCAAAGGGGGATGTTTTGGGGCAGAAAGGAGGGTGGTTTGGCTCTCCAGCTTTGTTTCTGCCTCTTCTCAGTGTCTTTCTTTGTGTTCAGTCTGCAGAAGCGCATTGCAGAGTGCCAGTACTGGCCCATGGAGGTCTGCAGGATATCTGCGGCCTTACCCAGCAAAGGGAAAACCAGCAAAGCTGACAAGGTAAAGTGGGAAGGGATGCGTTGTTCTGGCTTGTGGAGCAGCATTGTCCTATTGAGCATTTTCCTTTCAATGCCTTTGTAATACCAAAACCAGCCTTGAACCAGGCAAAGCGAGTCAGAGAGCTACCAGCTTTGTGAAGGGAATAATCAGCTTTACAGAGCTGTTAAATAGACAAAGGATCATATTTTTTTCTTATAGCATACAGAGCTCTGGCTGATGGTCTGTGGCAGCCCAGTGGGAAGGGGTCAGGGAGAGGGAGCTTTCTGAGAATTAAGGTAATTCACTGGAGCTGATGGGGTTGGAACATCTTGAAGAAATTCATGCCTGCTTTCTTGGGTGTAAATAAATTATGCTTTTGCACAAAAACTGGCGTGCTTTAAGAAAGAAACAGCCCTTCAGCTATGGTTCTGTTCATGGCAGCTGATTATGTGAGGGGTCCTAACCTGTTGCAATGCAAAGTCATTTAAGTTTGTCTAAATCCCTTTCAGCACCCACTGGTGCCAGAATGGAGACCCTTGTCACTTACCCTCACCAGTCTGCTGCTACCCCAGACACTCAGACCTCCTTAGCTGCCTTGATTCCTATCAGGGATGCACACCTCTGATAGGGTTACTTGGATTTCTAAGCACAGAGTAGATAATCTTACAGCTGTATCGCAAAAAGACCACCCTGAGGAATGGCATGAGAGAGAAAAGCTGCCCTGCACGCACTGGGATTGAATTGATATTCTACATATTGAATGACTCCAGTGTATTTGGCCAGGTCGTCTCGGCTGTGTGCCAGTGACAGAGAGCCACTGCCTCATCAGTGCAGCAGTTTGCTCTGTGGGCTCTTCTTAATGGGATTGGTGGCCTTGTTTCCTTACAGAGAATCACAGTCCGTTCACTGTCTCAGTCCCTTGCTCTGTGTTTCCAGGGAGATGAGGAAAAGCAGATTTCCTTCCATGGTGTGGCATATGTCAACATGATGCCTTTGCTCTGCCCTGGTGTGAAGCAGATCAGAGGTGCTTTTCGTGTCTGTGCCTACCAAGACAGCGAAGTGTTCAAGAAGGTGAGAGCAGACCAGACAGCCAAGCTCAGCCCCAGCTCTGCAGTTGGATTTGCACATATTGGGGTCGGGAGCAGGCGGCACAGGCAGTGTGGTGTTTGGGAGCAGGCACATGGGCAGTGTGGTACTCAGAGGCTGACTCCGAAACTTCATTGACTTTCTGGTGCTGGAGAAAAATAATAAGACAAGCTTTTAGGTGAAGAATCCTCAAAGGCAGGGGATTTTTGGGCATGCATGGGCAGGTTTGGGGGCTGGGAGAGGCTCTGAATCTCACTCCACTCCTTTCTCTGCCAGCAGCTGAGCAGGAAGAGATGTAAGAATGCTTCTCTCTCCCCAGTCTGGAACATGGGCAAATGAACTGTGCTGCTGGGAAAAGCAAACAGTGGCTCTAAAAGGATGGCGTTACCCCAGGCAACAGCCAAAAAAAGCTGTCACTGGAGCTCTTTCAGCTATAGCTCATGGAGGTTTATTTGTCTTTGCCTTTCTCCCACCTTTGTTGCTAAGAGTGACAGCTGCATCTCCATTTTCCCCCAGCACTCCTAGACCAGACCTGAGCTTGTTTCAGGAGGGCAGATGCACAAACCTGTTTTTTCTGCCCACATTCCCTGGAGTGCTGCTGTCCAGGCCACAGGAGCTGGGTGAATTACAGCCTTTCTCTCTGCCTCCACTGCTGGCTGTGGCAAATCAGAGCTTAGCACACAGCTTTCTGCTGGTCTCTGCTTCATCCATGTGAATAATGGCCTTATGGCTGTGTTGTTCTAATTGTCCTGGAGCATTTATCTGTCACAGTGCAGTGACACTGTCATTCTCATCCCCTGATTTTGTGGATGATTTGGGCTGCTCCTTGGGTCTAGGCAGTCTCAGTACAGCTGCTCCATCTTCTTCCCAGGAAGTTCTTGCTAGCCCAGTTCACATAACAGTGATGGCTGGGAGGGAGCAGCCTGTCTGTGGTCAAACTGTGTGTAAACAATCTGCCAAACCTGCTCCTTGACATGTGTCAGGGAAGCTGCTCCATGCCAGAAGGTGAGGTAGGAGCTGAGAGTAATTGCAAGGCAGGTTGAGGCACCCAAAACTTACAAAGCAGAACTGAGAAGTGTAGTCACATTCATCCAACAGTCTGCACCATCAGGCAGGTCCATAGCTGTGGGGCAGGTCCAGGTTCAAGCGAGGAATTCAGGCCAGCAGGTCAGGATCAGGGCAGCCCAGGGCTGGGTGCCAGCCTATCTAACATAGCTCAAGAATCAAGTGCCTGTGCTCAGTGGAAATGCAGCTCTTGAGAGAAGACAGAGCGCGCCTACAGAGATGTTCTCAGGCAGCTTGTTTCATAGTCTGACCTGAGGCTTCACAGCTATATGGTATCAGAGCTGGCCCTGAGCACCACAGCTAAACTAGGAGTGGAGGTTGAGCTTGTGTAGCTTCTTAATGTGTTTAGGACACTGACAATGTGTTTTGTGATGTGAGAGGTTAAGGCAAAGGGGTGGGGAAGCCCTAGTCTGGTCCTTGAATCTCTGTTCCTTCTGGTTTTGCAGACCAAAAGCCAGCACAGCGTTTTCCAGGATCTTAGGGGGCAGCTCAGTGTGACTCGGATGGGCTCAGGGACCTTAGGAATCGGTGCTCCCCTTGACCGAGCTGCTCCCAGCAAGACTCAGAAGGAAGACAAAGAGAAAAGCACCAACAAGAAGGTGAGGTCTAAAGAGGTACGTTGCAACACGGTTGCTCCATTTCCCCATCAGAGGTAGCTGGAGGAACCAGGGACTGATGCTGGGGTGCCTCAGCCAACTGAGAGATTATCTTTGGGAGATAGTGTTATCAGTACCTGCTGCCTGAAATGTCCAACTCACACCCTGGACATGTGAACGTGTGAGGCTTATTACATCTCAAACAAGACACATCTTTTCTTCTTCTTCTTCAACAGATGTCCCACATGCCCAAAGTCCAGTTGCCAAATGGCACTGGGGAAGCAGAAAACGCCGTGCATCTCAACCTTGAAGGACAGGTAATTATGTATCTCTAAAGAGAAGGAGACTTGCCAGACCATCACCGTGCTGGTGTCTCACACCTTGCATGCAGTTAAATTCTTCAAGAGTGAGCTGGACAAGGGATGTTTTGCGTCAGTGCTGTCCTGGAGTCCTCCCAGTGACGTCCAGCTGGAGGGCAGTCTAGCACTGCGCTAGAAGGTCTCTCTAAATTTAAAAGGGCTCCTTCAAATTTTGGCTTATTCCTCAGAACACTGAGAATGCAGCTTCATTCTGCAAGCAGATTGATTATCTGGGCCTCCTCATTTTTCCTAGACTGGCTTCTTGAGCTGAATTTTGCTGCAATCAATCATTCTCGGGTTATAAAACAAGCTGTATCTCTGCAGCTTGAAGGGGATTTGCTGAAGATCTGTAGCTATATGCTCAGTCTTCCATCATAGTGTAATGGCTCTAGACAGCACGACACTGAGACAGCAATATTTATCTTTATAGCAATACGTTGAAGCAGGAACATTCCTGGTGATGGAGATAAAGCTGTACAAGGCCTTGGTACCAAGAAGACTGCGAGAGGAGCTCACCAAACAGTGCGTAAAGCCCTGCTATGACGCACGGGCTGACGGCTCCTTTCCGCAGGGTAGAAACAGGGCTGCACAGAGAGCTCCCCCTAGGAGTGCTCCATACAGAAAATGCAAGGGCCTGAGCCAAAACCCACTGGAATCAGGGGGAGGATTTGGCCAGACTCCTTAAGGGGTGGTATGTGGTGTGTTGGGAAAACACTTATGTTCATCCCAGCTGGCATCTCCCTGCTATTCCTCTCAAAAGGAGAGATACCAGAGAAGCACAACAGTGCCTTTGTTCCCATCAGGGCTTTGTTTCCCACTAATCCCTGTGTGCTTGCCTCTTGCATGTGCTGCTTGGTCAGAACTGGCCACCAGTGTGGACTCCCCTGAGTAGCACTGCTCTAACTTCCCCATAGCCTTCTATCTTTTGGGTTTTACCTTTACAGGAGTTTTTTTTTTTCCCCCAGTCTTCTACCCATTCCTCAGCTCTCCTCTTAGTTTTCAAGTTGAACCACTGCAGAGCTGCTCTCATCTCTGCTGCTTTGATTCAAACACTTATCTGTCTGATTTGAGGCAGTTTCTTCCTCTCCAGTGGTAGCCCTGCTGTGTTTCAGTCTAGGAAAGGTCTAGCATGTATCATTTATTGACTAAAACAGAGAAAATGCAGCAAATGAATGAAGTATGACAAGTGCAGGTGGTATGTCACTCTCAAACAGAATGCAGCAGCCATTCCTTGCAAAGAAAGTGTGTGTGCCATCTTCTGTGCTGCCTGCTCTCTGCTAGGAAGAACAGGTTGAAGAAGGTGAACCACTGTAGAACGTTTTCCTGGCCCTCTTTATACCATTTCTACCCAACTGGAACTTGCTTAAATTCAGTGTAATTCCTCCACGTTGGCCTGCCATGAAGAATCCACCCTCCTGAGGGCTCTGAGTCTTGGGGAGCTCCAGCTGATGCTACATACATATGTCCTTGAAGAGGAGATCAGCAGATCTTTTTGGGGAAGGGCATTTAAATACATGCCTTAGTAGAAAAGCATAGCTCTCTTTCCTGGGCTCCACCCAAAAGCCTCTGTCAGCCTCTTGCAATTTGGTTTGCTAGCTGGGCAGGAGCCATCACACCTTTGCTTGGTGGGCTGGATTGTGTCCTAAGGACTGAAGGTGTTTTGGCTATCAGCAAGCAGGAAATCTTGATTAAAATCTCAATAAATTAACACTGTTTTGACACCAAGGGTTTTAATAAGTTCTCAGTAAAAGTTCTGGTAATCCCTGTGGGGTTTTGATGAGTATTTGAAAGGTCAGTGTAACTCTAGTAGTGGTAAAGCCAGGGTTGGGATGGTGCCAAGGGGTCAATGCCTGCCATAACCACACCATGATGTGTTGAGAGCTGCTGGGGTGGTGGCCTGGGCTTTAGAGTGAGAACGTTCTACAGGCTGATTTCTTCCATCCTCTCATTGACAGGGTCAAGCAAATGATTCCTCCTCGCCCTCTGCTGCCTCCCTGGACTTTAGGAGCCCAGAAGGTACATGCAGGAGCCTGTGGCCTTGCCTCTGCCACCTCTTCTTGCCCTCATACCTCTCACACAGAACCTTCATTCTCAATCTTAGCTCCACAGCAACATATACATGAGGTTTGAAGAGGAAATACACAGAAAGGGAACTTCTGGATGTGTTATCCTTGCAGTAGTATGCCTGCATCATTCATGTTTGCAGCCCATACAAAATGGAGAGATGTAGCAAGAGCAGGGAAGGCAGCAGTGGGAGTGTTTGGAAGGAAACAGGATGCTGGACAAAGAGGCTACCGGAACCTTAGAATCATAGAATCAACCAGGTTGGACAAGACCTTTAAGATCATCAAGTCCAACCATTCCCCAGCACTGCCAAGGCCACCACTGAACCATGTCACTGAGGGCCTCATGTACATGGTTTGTGAACACTTCGAGGGATGGCAACTCCACCACTGCCCTGGGCAGCCTGCTCCAATGCCTGACCACCCTTTGGGAAAGGAATTGCTCCTAATATCCAGCCTAAACCTCCCCTGGCACAGCTTGAGGCCCTTTCCTATTGTCCTACCCCTTGTTTCTTGGAAGAAGAGACCGACCGCCACCTCACTGCGACCTCCTTGGTAAATCTTAGATTTACCCCAGGCAGTCCCGGCAGTTTCTTGTCTCAGATTAGCCCATGTGCTTCCTCAGACCCAGACAAACATGAACAGAATCAGCCCTGAGCACTCTCAGGTCACCCAGAATATCTGAGGACCTTTGTGTGTGTGACACATCCTCAGGAAATGGTCTGACAGTGCTGGCTCATCTGTGCGCACAGAGCAGCCATCAAAGGAGAATGTCCCCAGGTGGCCCCTGGACAATAGTGAATTCAATGCACAGCGAGGAAGGAGCAGCACTGCAGTGACTGACCCCAGTGCTGCTGCAGAATTGATTCGTGCTGGACTGTCTGGAGTGCTTCCAGTGCTATATTTTGATTGTCACAGCACATGGAAGCTTCTGCCATGGAGAATATGGAGATTAGACACTGCTGAAGAGGGCTGCCTATGGGTTTAAAAGGCTTCCAGCAAATGTTTTTCTTACAGCCAATTTTACTGCTATAGAAGAGACACCAATGACTTAAATACTGGGTTCTGATGGAAAAGTATAGCAGAAGCAATATCTAATTATGGAGCTCTTTTGTATTGACACGTAGATGTATTCACAGCCCTCTGGCATGGACAGGAAGGGATGAGTGACAGACTAACTGGGACTTGCCTCAGGTGGAGTTCGTGGGAGGTGAAATCAAATCCATTTCAAGGTTGATGGCATGAGTGCCTTGTGAAGGGTGATTATTTCTTTATTTGTTCGTAGGCTGTGGAAGATTATCACCATCACATCACGAGCATTGCTGCTGCCATCCTAAATGAATGCCATGAGCTCTTTGGGAAGCAGCTGCCTGACCAGACAACGACAGATCACCAAACCCTGGAGGAACAGAAGCGTCAGCTCAACTTCGAGCTGAACAGCTCTGGCAAATATTTTGCTTTTAAGGAACAGCTAAAGGTAAAGAGTCCATTTGTGCTTTTCACTTCCCTACTTGTTTTCTCCTGTCAGTTTCTCAGTGAGGAGCTGCTGCTCCATGATGTGTGGCTCCAGATCCCATCCTGCTAGCTGAGGCTGTTGCAGGACATGGGGAGGGGGGATAGGTTCTCCTTCTAATGGAGCAGGCAAAGCTGCTTTGATCACACACCAGAAGAATCATTCCTGTCAATGGCGGGAGACTCCAAAGCTGGTCATATCCATTTGCCCGATGTTAATAGCCTGAGGAAGGCAAAACCTACTCTTACACACTCAGTCTGCCCTGGCAGACAGAAGGGGTTCCCCTGTCTCAGCTGGTCAGCCTTGGCCATGCTCCGCCTGGGGACCCCTTCTGTGTGCCAAGGGGACGAGCCTTCCCACATGTCGTTCCTAAAGGGGCACCAGTGTGTCAGGGAGAAACAGGGGTAGGAGGTGCAAAAGGAGCTCACCCCTGCTTGTTTTTATCAGTTCTGGGTTGGGATTCTTCCTCAGAACTAAGCTGGCTCTTCAGGCACAACCAGTGTGTTGTGGCTCTGCATGATTACAGAGCTGGAGGGGGGCACAGGGAGACCTGTCTTGTCCAAAGAGTCTCATGTCTCCACAGTATGCTGTAGTGAAGATTGTGAGGGAGAAATACCTGAAGACTACGGCATTTGAGAGCCAGGAGCAATTCCAGGCATTCCTCAGTGAGCTCTACGTGTACCTCATGGACCAGATGCACATTGCCCTGAATCAGGTAGGGAGAAAGCTGGGATACGACTTCACTGTGGATCCAGGGCTAGACACTGCATCTAGTGAAAGCCAGGGGACTTTTGCCTTCAAGACAGACACAGGCTCATGCTTTCCTTTGCTGCAGTTATCACAGGTGGGCCTCAAGCCACGTTCAGAGGCAGGGGAGACTGAGATGAGCTCTTAGGCAGAAGCTCTTCCCTGTGAGGGTGCTGAGGCGCTGGCACAGGGTGCCCAGAGAAGCTGTGGCTGCCCCATCCCTGGCAGTGTTCAAGGCCAGGTTGGACGGGGCTTGGAGCAACCTGGTCTAGTGGAAGGTGTCCCTGCCCATGACAGGGGGTTGGGACTGGATGAGCTTTAAGGTCCCTTCCAACCCAACCAGTCTGGGATTCTATCATGATTCTGTGAGTTGCAAGTAGTGGATATTTGCTGTCTCTGTGTGGCAGATGTACCTGGGAATGACAGAATGTGTCCCACCACAGGACAGGACGTCTTGCCATTCAGCTCCAGCCATACCAGGCTGCACTCGGCATAGTGCCAGACTGAGGACTGCTGCTGTACTGGGATGAACCATTCTCACCCTCTCCAGGGTAGCACTCTGTCTCTCTTCTTCCAGCTGCTGTTTGAGGAAGCTGCTCCTTCTGCCCCTCCATCTCAAGTGACCCAGAAGCAGCTCTTGCTCTTTGCTCATGAGGCTCAAGTCATCAAGGACTATAAGCTGGCATCTCTCTACCACCAGCAGGTAAAGGAGCCCCTGTTCTTTCCTGACCATCTCCCATGTGTCTGGGCTGGCAGCCAGCGTGGGGCCATGCTGCTGACAGCCCTGACTTGTGCAGGGAGAAAGGAGGAGAATGTGATGGGGATACTCAGGCTGAACATGTGTGAGAGATTTTCTAGGGAGATGCTGCTCTCTGGAGGATATGAGACAGGGCCTGGCCAGGTCACTGAGGGTGTCAGCCTTGAGGCCAGGGCAAATGGGGTGAGCTGCTCCAAAAGGCATGCAGTGTCAGTACTGGGGACACTGGGCCCTCAACAGGAAGCTAGGAGGATGTCAACTGAAGTTGGAGGATGTGTGTTAGGTGAAGGAAGTTTAGAGGAAGCCCAGCACAATCCCAGTTAAGGGAAATCCTAGCATGTGATGTAGACGAGGGCTTGGTTGTTGCTAAACTGGGCTGGGGTAGCCAGAGGAAAGCTGTGGTCACTCCAGTATTGTCTCCAGTCCATTGTGTGTTCTGAGCACAACTGCAGCACTCCTCACTCCAGCAATAGTCTCTTTTTGTCTAGAGGATAGCTAAGGACCAGTACAACGTCGAGTGCTGGCTGGACTATGGGGCATTCTGCCTCCTGATCGAGGAAACAACCAAAGCCCATGAGTGCTTCCAGCAGGCCCTTTCTCTGGATCCCAATCACATCCAGAGGTGCTGTGTGCTCCTGGGGGGTGGCCAGGTGTGTGAGGGTGTCCTGCAAGGCTAACCTGCCTGTCCCTGTCCCCAGTTTGCTGCTGTGTGGGATTACAGCTGCCATGCTGCAGCACGATGAAGAGGCAAAGGTTTTATTTGAGGATGCCTGCTGCTTGGAGCCATCCAGCGTGGTGGCCTGGACACTTTCAGGTACAAAACCAAGCAGCCTGTGTGCTCGAGACATTCCTCTAGAGCCAAGCATTGCTGCTGCTCCCTTCTCTAATCTAAGGGCTAAGGGAAGGATTTTGCTAAGGCTGGATGTCTGCTTGCAGTTCTCTTTCTGTCTCACATAGGTTTGTTTTATGAGCTGCAGGATAATAATATTCAGGCAGAAATGGCCTTCCGTGAGGCTAAAAAGCTCTTGCAAGCACAGCTCGCCAAGGAGAGGAGCATCCCTGAGGCTGCTGAGGGAGAAGGAGGTAAAAAAAAGCCCATTTCTGCTGGGTGTATGAGGTGTCACAGCCCAGGCCCAGAAGACGACTTGCCAGGTAATGCTGGGTGAAACCAGGAGGTGCCCCAGCAGTGGCAAGAAGGGGGCTCAGAGCAGTGAGGGAGATGGTGAACAGTGGAAGGGGATGCAACACTTCTAAGTGTTTCTAAGAGGAGAAATAGATTTATAGAATGGTTTGGGCTGGAAGGGGTCTTCAAAGCTCATCTAGTCCAACCCCCCTGCAGTGAGGAGGGACATCTTCAACTACATCAGGTTGACCAGAACCACATCCAGCCTGGCCTTGGATGTCTCCAGGGACGGGGAATCCACCACCTCTCTGGGCAATTTGTGCCACTGTTTTACCACCCTCATTGTAAAGAATTTCTTCCCCACATCCAGCCTGAATCTCCCTCTTAGTTTAAAACCACTGCCATCATACAAAGGCTAAGGGAAGATGTGGTCTGTGAGCTACAGTAGACCACAACTTCACTAGCGAGAAATAACAGCACAAGTGTGCTGCTTCAAATGTTGAAGCTCCCTGAAAGCATCACAGCCAATGCCTTGTCTTACCCACAACCTACTAAACGGACCAGTCTTTGAACTTACTTTTCTGCCCCAGCCCAGTGCCACTGATAAACTGATGTGTGCAAAGCAGCCAGGGTGGCTGGAGGAGAAGAGTGTGCTTCTGGAGGCTTTGGGAGGGCAGAGATGCCCCTGTGCCAGTCATACATGACACTCACGCCGGTTTAGCTTTAACCAAAGCTGTTGCTGTGACTTCCCAGTGCAACCTGGAAATCACTGCCTCATCAATTCAATGGACAAACTGCTGGGTGGTGATCCTGAACATCAGGCTTCCTCTGGAGCCCCACTGAGTCCAGCCTAACTTTGAGCCAAGACTTACTGTCCCAAGGCCCAAATATGTGGCCAGGCTGCGGGAAATGTTTATTTTTACTGTTATTACCACTCCATGCCCAGTGCCTCATGTCGTATGCCTTTTTTTCCACCTTCTCATTATGAGGAAAGAGATATTCATAGAATCCCAGACTGGTTTTGGTCGGAAGGGACCGTAAAGCTCATCCAGTTCCAGCCCCCTACTATGGGCAGGGACAGGGGAGGGACACCTTCCACTAGACGAGGTTGCTCCAGGCCCCATCCAACCTGGCATTGAACACTGCCAGGGATGGGGCAGCCACAGCTTCTCTGGGCACCCTGTGCTAGGGCCAACCTGTTTCAATTCCGTATTGCCTCATTTATACCTGTTTCTAGCTTCACATGGTAATGTTGTACTCAAAACACTAGGCCCTCCTACAAAGAAACTTCTTCCCAGTTCTGAATATCTTGTAGATCTTTTATATTTTCTCCCCTCCCCATTTCTGCAGAATCATAGAATGCTCCAAACTGGGCAGTTTATGGCAAAACTGTTTGCATCTAATAGCTTTTGGGGATTTCATTACAGAGAAAGTTCCAGATGGTTCTGCTGACAAACTGACAAAGGTGGTGGAGCCTGCCCCGGCTTGTGTGGCACCTAAGGAAGAGGCGACTGCACCAGAGGCAGCCCCGAAAGGTATGGAGATGAAGGAGAGTATCTTGGGAGCACTGAGCTGTGACCCTCCTGATGCCAGGTCAAGATATCATGGCTTGTTCTTTCTAGCTGGGAATCTCCAAACAAAGTAGGTTCATTCTGATTTCCGGAGCAGCACATCTCAGGAGGGACAGCCAGTGGGCGAACACAGCTTCCTCCCTACATGTCAGTGCACCCAGTGGCTTTTATTGGCTACCTAGGTGTCTCCCTCCTGAGATGCCAGCTCTTAAACTGTCCCTGTGGATCTCCCCTGCTCGTGTGTTGTGGGATTTGCCTCCTCTACAGCTCCACTTTCCCAGGGGTGGCAAAGAGATGGCAGTGCTGGGTGCTTTGGGTCCCCCTGGGTTGGTTTGGGGGGGGGCAGGGGCCTCACAGTAGTTAACTCTGACAAGCTTCACTCATAAATTCCTACCTTTTCTTCCTCTGAGCTTGGACTGGAAAGCTACTGGGTCTAGAGCATCATTTCTTTTCACATCTCTTACAACACTTAAACCCTTTAGACAGAAACACCAAGTTAATCCCTGCTTCAGCCCTCCCTGCCACCTCCTGGGTTTCACACTCTGTTGCTGGGATTCCTCTGTCCCTGCCAGGGTCTCAGGCCCTGCTCTGGCATCTGAAATACAACTTGCCCCCGGAACTGACACATCTTCTTGCAGCGGTGTCCCCTGCTTCAGGACTTGGACAACCTCCCTGCACGATCTTCATGGAGACAGTGGAATTCCTGATGAAAGCCAATGCTGTCCAGGTCAGCTCAATGTGGAGTGGAGGAGTGGGAAGGGAGGTTTGGTCTTCTTCCAAAGAGCTCCAGCGAACTCCAGCAAACCCCCTCTTGGGCATGGAGAACAAGCTGTGGCTACTCCTAATGCTGAGGGAAAGAGGGAGCAAACCCACCCAGAAATGCAAACCCGTTCAGCCCAAAATGCTGGTGGTGGACATGGTCCCCTCAGGTAGGTTCTCGGGGTGCTCAGCTCAGCACCACTTGCTGCTGAGGGAGCAGCCAAGTCACAAGTGGTGAGATGCATTAGTGTGATGCTTCCAAGACTCATTCCTTGTTTGAGACACTTGTGTATGTCAGAGTAAGTTTTGTGTCACCTGTGGAGTGTCCCTCTCCCACACAGCCGGCTCTGTGGGACCTCTCTGACTACCACATGATGCTGCCTGCCTTAATTTTACATGGCAGAAAGAGTTTCTTAAAGCAAACCAAAACTAGAAGTAATGGAGTTAAATATTTAAAGGAGGGATAAAGAAAGAAATCTCCTGTGTGTTTTGTGTTCATGGAAGTCAAATAAGTGCTAGTCAGCCTTCCTGCCATGTCCTTCTGGGGTGCCTATGGTTTGCCTGCTCTCTTAACGTGATGGGTGTCCTTCTTCCACAGTTTATTCACAAGGCCCTTGCCCACGAGCTGCTGAGCCTCCAGGGAGGTCCCTCCAGTGGGTACTATTTGGTGCTGGCCCAGACTTACTTGCTGAAAGAAGAACTCTCCAAATGTGAAGAATGTCTCTGTGAGGCTGTTAGGATTGACTGCATGGTAACCCAGTGTGTGATCACTTGCCTCCTGTCCTCTCCCACACAGACACGCAGCATTTCTGAGTGGGGACGCCTCTCCCTGTAGCATCTGCCTTTCTTTTCCCTTTGAATGTGTACAGCCTCTTTCTATTTGTGGGTCAGTCTCTGTTTCATGAGGAACAAGGTTGCTATTCAACAGTGGCAAAGTGGCTTTGGGGAGTTGGGTTGAATGGAAGGCAGGTTGAATGGAAGGCAGGGGGAAGCTTACAATCCTGAATGCTCTCTGCACATTCACCATCCCTGGGGAGCTTGGCATAACCAGGACACTGTGCAGGGAATGTCTGGAGGGGGCTCCCATTGCAGGCAGCCACTGATCTGGTTTTAACTCTGTACATAGAAATCTGCCCTGCTATAATTAAACGCCGCTCAGCTCTTCCTTTCTGCTGCTGACTGGGTCCCTGCCCCTCTCTCAGTCTCCCTCCCTCTCTTCTCTCAGCTACATCTCACTCCTGGGTTTGTGTGCACAGAATCCAAATGTTTGGGCTCAGAAAGGGCACCTCTGCTACCTGAAGAAAGACTTTGGTGAGGCAAAGGAGTGCTATGAGCGAACCATGGGGTTTATGGAGGATGCTGCGGATATGCACTTCGTCTACCTGCGCCTGGGTTCCATCTACCTGGAGGAGAAATTGGTGAGGAGCCAGCAGGAGTGGCAAAAGGGAATCTGTCACAAAGCAGAAGATTCCAGACCCTGGGTATGAAACACCATGAGCTGTTGCCATAGCCAACATATCACAAGCCAGCAAATCCTGGAGTGCTGTGTTCCTTTGTGCCAGCTCTGCATCCCAGGTGCAACATCTCTGGGTGCTGCTGAGCCATTTCTCATCATCCCAGACACCAGGTGACTGTACCAGTACCTGCCAGCAGAGTCACTACAGCAGGGGCAGCAGGCAGGCTCCAAGTCCCCCAGTGGAGACAGTGGGGGTCTGAACCCCACCAGAGATGGGAATTGGGTGTTTAGCAAATTCACAGAATCCCAGACTGGTTTGGGTTGGAAGGGACCTTAAAGCTCATCCAGTTCCAACCCCCTGCCACAGACAGGGACACCTTCCACCAGACCAGGTTGCTCCAAGCCCCGTCCAACCTGGCCTTGAACACTGCCAGGGATGGGGCAGCCACAGCTTCTCTGGGCACCCTGTGCACCAGAGAACCTCAGCACCCTCACAGTAAAGAACTTCTGCCTTACATCTAACCCGAACTTCCCTGCTTAAGTTTGAACCCATTCCTGAGAAAGGGGGTGCTGTCTGCAATGATGTGTTTGCTGCAGAGTAACGTGCTTGTGTACCCTCTGTGGCAGTACGGTCGGGCGAAGAAGATCTACCTGCTCGCCTGTGACAACTCCGCATCCTGCCTCACCTGGCTGGGGGTGGGAATCGCCTGCTACAGGGTAAGTGCCTACAGGTGACCTTCCTTTAACTGGTGGTGTGGCCTGGGCTGCTTTTCCCCTTGCCCAAACTAAAGCTCAGCTCCCTGTGAAATGAACACTCCTGAGGGATGCCGTGTGCTGCGCTGTGCAGTCCTGCCTGGCACCGTGGGCTGCTGGTATAGGAGATGTTGGAGCCGTCACCCCCACAACTGCTTTGGGAGCAACAATCCTTCCCCTCATCCCACTGCCAGGGCCTTCCCCAGGGTGTCCAAGCATCATGTAACCCAGCCAGGCCTGAGTTCTGCTCCAAGCACTTGTCCATGACCTGCACGTCACCACAAAGGAACTAGGCAGAATGTCAGGAATCTCAGTGCTTTCCCTGCCTTGAAGAATCCAGCATCTCTGACAGGCTGCCAAGGACACTCTGACCCTGGCACTGTGGTATCAACCAGGGGTTCACCTCATGAGGCTTCTCCATTGAGATGTGGCTGAGGGAAGAAACAGGGAGAGGACTTGAAATTCTGTTTCCCCCTTGGCCAAACATGCATCCCCTGGGAGCCAGAGAGGTGAGTGGCAGCCTGGGAGCTGGCTGCAGCCTGCTGGGCACTGGCTCCTGTGCCTCCCTGAGCCACCCTACACGAGGAAGAAGGATCATAGAATCCCAGACTGGTTTGTGCTGAAGGGACCTTAAATCTCATCCAGTCCCAACCCCTGCCACAGGCAGGGACACCTTCCACTAGACCAGGTTGCTCCAAGCCCCGTCCAACCTGGCCTTGAACACTGCCAGGGATGGGGCAGCCACAGCTTCTCTGGGCACCCTGTGCCAGCACCTCAGCACCCTCACAGGGAAGAGCTTCTGCCTAAGAGCTCATCTCAGTCTCCCCTCTGTCAGGTTAAAGCCATTCCCCCTTGTCCTGTCCCTACAGGCCCTTGTCCAAAGCCCCTCTCCAGCTTTCTTGTAGCCCCTTTAGGCACTGGAGCTGCTCTAAGGTCTCCCCTTAAGGAGCCTTCTCTTCTCCAAGCCGAACAAGACCAGTTCTCTCAGCCCGTGTTCACTGCTCAGTTCCCCAAGGCGGAGGAGTTCATACTGCTTTCCTTATGCCTGGGTCTGATGTGTAAATAGCGGGTGCTCCCACAGGGGGTCGGCAGTCAGCAGTGAGAGGCTTATGTTTCAGCCTTGACTGCTGGATGCTAGCTCCAGGGGTAACTGGTTGTTTCTGCCTTAAATCCTTTCCCCACATCCCTGTTGGTGAAACCCTGCCAGATGCTTTTGTTGCACTGAGACCTTCGGCTGTTAGAGAGATTCTGAAAACCCTTCTCCCTCTGTTTGCCTCCTGTCCATGACTCTCCTCTCTCTCTCAAGCTGAAGGAGATGGTGGAAGCAGAAGATGCCCTCTCTGAAGCCAATGCCCTCAATAACACCAACGCTGAAGTGTGGGCATATCTCTCCCTCATCTGCCTGCATGTGAGTGCCCAGCCCACCACCCCCATGGTCTATTGCAACTGCTCACGAGCCTGAACAACATGGTGTAGATCTTGGTGGTAAAGTCTGGGGGCTGTACTGGGAGAGGGTGAAACATTCTGATGAGCATAGCAGTGCCCTCCTTCACTGCCTGCACTCACTCCTCCAGGGCCCATCCTTTGTGCTGAGCTTTCTTACCATGTGTGATCTCCCCGAGGGAGATGATCATTATGGGATGATGCCCTCACTGCTCTGTGTCCTTTTCCCAGGGAGGACGGCATATGGAGGCAGAGCAGTGCTACAAGTACGTCCTCAAGGTCAGTGTCTGCACTGCTGCAGGGTGGCCAGGGCAGGGCAGTGTGTGGCCAGGCACTGGCCAGAGTGTGCCCCACTATGAGTCATGGAATCACGGAATGGGTTTGGGTTGGAAAGGACCTTAAACTCATCCACTTCCAACCCCCTACCACTGGGGACAAGGAAGAACTTCGTTATATCCAACCTCAATCTCTTGTATTTAATTTTGAATGTATTACCTTTGTCCCATCACTATACAGTCCCTAATGAAGAGTCCCTCTCCAGCCTCCTTATAGCCCCCCTTCAGATATTGGAAGGCTGCTATGAGGTCTCCACGCAGCCCTCTCTTCTCCAGGCTGAACAGCCCCAACTTTCTCAGCCTATCTTCATACGGGAGGTGCTCCAGCCCTTGATCATCCTCATGTCCTCCTCTGGACTTGCTCCAATAGCTCTGTGTCCTCCTTACATTGAGGACACCAGAACTGCATGCAGCACTGCATGTGGGGTCTCACGAGAGCAGAGCAGAGGGGCAGGATCACCCCCTTTGACCTCCTGGTCAAAGCGTTTGCCCTTTGACTTGCGAGCTGAGTTCGATGGTTCAGCACGGAAGGGCTGAGGCAGGAAGCCATGGGAGGGTTAAAGCTGCCCTGCCTGTCGCCCTTGTCACGGCGGTTCTGTCCGGGGGTCGGGGGTGTGCTTGTGCTTCTGCCCTGCCTGACCCGCCGCTTTCCCCGCAGCTGGGCCTGACGAACGACGCGCTACTGCGGGAGCTCCGCGCCGCCCAGCTCCGGCTCGGCTTCGGCAACCCGGAGCTCTGAGCGCCGGCTCCGCAATAAACCCCCCTATCCCCACCGCTCCTGTCCGGCTCCTTCGCGACCGCGCCGGGCCCGGCCGCTGGGGGGCGTGCCACGCACGCGCTGAGGGGCGTGGTTCGGTGTGCGTCACGTGACGGGGTGGGGCCGGGCGGCGGGCGCGGATTTGCGGCGGGCACGCGGGACGGTTGAGCCGGCGGCGCGCGCTATGGCGGCAGGTAGCGGCGGGGGGGAGTGTGGGTGCCCAAGGGCGACGAGAGGCTGGGGACGAGGGGAGCGCTCGGAGCACGATGGTAACGGGGGTGTCACCGGGGCTGGCGCGGCAGCGGAGCGCGGGGGGAACAGGGGAGTCACCGGGGTAAAAGGGAGGCTCGCGTCATGGGGGGCTCCGGATGCCGAGATACCGGGGGTACCACCGGGGCTGGGGGCTCGGAGCATGGGGGTGTCACCAGGCATGAGTGCGACACCGGATCTGGAGGGGGCGACACTCGGAGCACGGAGATACCGGGGGCCTCACCGGGGTTGGGAGGGTCGCGTTTCGGATTAAGTAGGGCTCCGGACACGCAGATAACAGGGATGCCATTGGGGCATGGGGGCTCTGCCCATGGGCATTCAGAGCACGCGAGTAGCAGGGGTGTCACTGGGCTGGGAGGACTCGGAGCTCGGGGATTACCATATCTGGCACTGGGCTAGAGGCAGGGTGGTGACACTGGGGCTAGGGGCAACTCGGGTTGTAGAGGTAATGGGGCCATCACTGGGGATGGAGGGACCCAGAGCATGAGGGTAATGGGGCTGGTAGCGGGTCTGTCACCAGGCTCAGGGCACAAGGTTGACACCGGGGCCGGGTAAACTCGGGACATGGAGATGACTGGGTGCCAACAGGACGGGGAACCTCGGGACGCAGGGACAGCAGCGGGGTCCGCGGTGCGGGGGGCACCGTCCCCCCAGCGCTCGTGGTACCAGCAGCCTGGCAGCGGCCATACCTGAACATCTTCAAGCACTTCCGTGTGGAGGAGTGGAAGCGCTCTGCCAGGGAGGGGGACGTGGCCACCTTCATGGTAACACTGGGGACACTGGCACCAGGGCACGGGGGGACTGGCTGCAGTGGGCACCGCTGATCCCCCATGGCCCTGTGGTTCTGGCAGGACACAAGGCTGAAGGGAACTGTGTACCGGATACGGGGCTCCATACCTGGCAGCAGCTACCTGCAGCTGCCCCGCACTGGGACACAGTCACTGGGGCTGACCGGGCGCTACCTCTACCTGCTCTTCAGGCCTGTGCCTCACAAGCACTTTGTTGTCCACCTGGATGTCACCACCGAGGTAGGACACTGGGCAGCCTCGTTAAACTGCCATCATTGTTATTGTGGCTAATGGAAGGGTTGAGGGGTGGCACTGGTGGTCTTTGGGGGAAAAGGTTGGCCGACCTTTGTTGTCACTGGTGTTTTATCCTGGAAATGGTTTCTGCCCTCGTGGCATTTCTGCTGGTGACAGGAGACAAGGAAGGGACAGGAGATAGGATCACTCACCTTCTCCCCTGCAGCATATCCCTGCTGAAGCCACCAGGGTGACTAAAGCTGTGTCTGTGTCTGTCTCCTCAGGAAAAGCAAGTGGTTCGCATCTCCTTCTCCAGCCTCTTCAAGGAATTCAAATCCACGGCCACCTGGCTGCAGTTCCCCTTCGTCTGTGGAGCTGCCAAGGGCTCGGCCAGGTCACCCAGGCATGGTGAGGAGCATTTGTGCTGCTGCTCATGGTGCACAACACCAAATTCATTGAGTTTGGGAGTGCACTTGATGTATTTGGGGAGAGCGAAGAGCAGGAGACCCTCAGCAGATGGGGGTCAGAGCTGTGGCTCCCAGGAAGGATGTCCCTGCTTTGCAGCAATGAATTACTGGGCATATTTTCCCATCTCCCATCTTGGCGCAGGCAAGCCAAGCCTCGTGGGAGTCATCCCTGGTGAATAGTACCACTTAACCACGTTAATCTTGCATCTGTGTTCTGTGAAGCCCAAGGTCTATAGCATCTTCTTGCCTTTCACCACTTGCTGCTCTCCTCCCCAGAGCTGGTGGGAGATGCCCCCACTGACGTGCGCTGGACCTGCCTCGTGCTCGACCTTCCCTCCATCCTCTCCCTCTACCTCAACCGCCACTACAGCCACCTCAAGAGCATCAAGCTCTGCTCCAGCCTGCTGGTGAAAAACCTCTGCACCAGCGACTTGGTGTTTGACCCAGGTGAGGAGCTCAGCGTGGCCTCTCATTTCTCCTTTGACGTCAGCCCAGTCTTAATGGAACCCTGGATCATACTGGCTTCTGCAGCGTGATGCTGACAGGGCTGTTAGCCCTGGCTAAGCACCTGGCTGCCATTATGGTAGGAAGCAGAAAGCCCAAAATACTTGGTCTGACGTTAAGTTTCTGTGTGTGCTGGTGAATACAATCTCCCAGCCTCCAGAGGAAAGCGTTGTCTCGTTTTCCAGCTGTAGAAGTGAACAGTAAGAGCAAAGTTAAATATCGTACTGAGGTTAGAATTCTTTTTCAGGGGTAAACAATTCAAGGTGTTCCCAAGCCTCGTTCTCCAAGGCCTGTGCTTTCATCTGCTAGAAGAGCCTGTGGGTTCTTTTGTCTCAGAAATCTTCCAACCTGCTTTTTTGATCCCCCTGCTCAGTGTGGCAGAGATACTTCAATCAGAACCTTTGGTTTTGCCTTTCTTTCTTTGCACCGGTAATCTGCCCGAGCTAACTGACTCCATCAGTGGAGTTTCAGGATGTTCCAGGTGCTGCTTTTGGATTCGTGGAACTTGTTCTGTCTTGGAGACTTGCATGAATTTACAAACATATGAAGGACAGAAGACAAGCAAATGTGTAAAGAGCCTTAACACAAATAACGTGAAATTGCTGAATCACTGAATCTGGGGAATCTTGGGCCTGGGAGGTACAATCCCAGACTGGTTTGGGTTGGAAGGGACCTTAAAGCTCACCCAGTTACAACCCCCTGCCACAGGCAGGGACATCTTCCACTAGACCAGGTTGCTCCAAGCCCCGTCCAACCTGGCCTTGAACACTGCCAGGGATGGGGCAGCCACGGCTTCTCTGGGCACCCTGTGCCAGTCATGGGTTTGTGCTCTGGGATGTCCCTTGGAATACCTGTGCAAAGGTGTGTTGTTGCACACCTCGGGCTTGTGCTCTTTGCTTTTCAGGTGTTCTCAAAGATGGAAGCGGTTTGAGCCCTTTCACTGGAAACACGATTGCAGCTCCACAGCCCTTGAAGACCTGACCCTCTTTCTGTCCCTCTGCCCCCAGGCATGACGTTCTCCGAGGCCCATCAAGCCGAGCTGGCATGCCATGGGGTAGTGCCCATGCCACGGGAAATGGCATTCCCTGTGCCAAAGGGTGAGAAGTGGCACGACCTCTATGACTATATCAGGTACGGCTGCTCCTGGCTTCACTGACCCCACTGCAGCTTCAAGACCTCTGGGAAAGGTGCTTAGATAACACTGCTTAAGGAATGACAGATCCAGACAAACGTGGGGCTCAGTGGAGACATTGCCATCACCCCAAGTCCAGCATTTAGGTGTTGTTAACACTTCTAGCCTGGTCTAAGCTTAATGCTGATGGGTGATGTTTTGGGGCAGGAAAGAGGCTGTAGAGCACTTCAGTGTCCCGAGTTAACACCAGTCCTCTCTGTCAGTGACCTCTTGTTGGGACAGCTCCCATGTAACACCTTGTTGGGGGGCAGATGTAAAAGTACAGCCCCTAGCTCCTGTGCTGGGTTCCTGTTGGTGGTGTCAGAGCACAGGACTCCATTATATCTGGTGAGACCTCCCTGCAGTCCTAATGCAGCTCTGGGACAACAAAACAAGAGGGATGTGGAGCTGTTGGAGCAAGTCCAGAGGAGGCCATGGAGATGCTGTGAGGGCTGGAGCAGCTCTGCTCTGGAGCCAGGCTGAGAGAGCTGGGCTGGTTCAGCCTGGAGAAGAGAAGGCTCCTTAAGGGGAGACCTTAGAGCAGCTCCAGTGCCTAAAGGGGCTACAAGAAAGCTGGAGAGGGGCTTTGGACAAGGGCCTTTAGGGACAGGCCAAGGGGGAATGGCTTTAACCTGACAGAGGGGAGACTGAGATGAGCTCTTAGGCAGAAGCTCTTCCCTGTGAGGGTGCTGAGGCGCTGGCACAGGGTGCCCAGAGAAGCTGTGGCTGCCCCATCCCTGGCAGTGTTCAAGGCCAGGTTGGACGGGGCTTGGAGCAACCTGGTCTAGTACAAGGTGTCCCTGCCCATGGGAGAGGGTTGGAACTGGATGAGCTTTAAGGTCCCTTCCCACCCAGTCTGGTCAATGTTGTCCCTGCCCAAACCATTCCATGATTCTATGAGGTTTTTGCCAGAGAACCCTGTTGGTCATAAACTCAGCTCATCACAGTATCAGGTTAGCACGTTACCTAAAGTGTGCAGTGCCAAGTTAACCCCTGGAATGTGATGCTGTAGATGAGACCTGGGAGGTGCTTTATTTAGGGGAGGGTGGGGCAAAAGGGGAAATCTAACAGGACACACGAAGAAGCTTCTGTGTCAGGCCATGAGTTACCAAGTGGTATTCCTTGTTGCCACGATGTCTTCCTCTGATTTTGGTCAGATTCCCATCCGAGGGGTCCAAGCTGCCAAAGGACTCCATCCAGAAGAGCTGTCCTGGCCCTGTGGCAGGTGGGAATGCTGGGGATGGCAGCCAGGGTTGGATGCTTTGGGTTTCCCAGGGAGCCCAGTCTCCTCCTCGTGTTACCCAGGTGGCCAAGCCCCAGAGGATCCCATCCAGCAGAAGCCAGTGGCGCTCACCAGTGCAGTCCGTGACCGACTGTCCCTCATTCAGCAGATAACCAGTCCCAAAGCTGTAAGTGCCTCATGGAGGAGGCTGCAACTTCTTCCCTTCTGCCTCCTGTGTTTTTTCACCACATCTTCTCTTTGAGGGCCTGTATTTAAGAAGCTGCTTCTTGTTGTTTGTGGCTGATCTGACCCCAATTTGGGCAGTCTGTTGACTGCAGCCCTGCAGTTACTGATGGG